GTGGTTGAGGATCTAAACTTGGAGACAGCTACAGAGAAAGAGCACTCAGACAGATAAGAGGAGAACCACTCCAGGGGACTTCCTGATAGGCCTACCCAGTCTTTCAGCCTCTCCAGTAGCAGATGATGGTCAACAGTGTCAAAGGCTGCAGTCAGGTCCAACAGGACCAGAACAGAACAGTCCCCTGCATCACTGTGAGTCAGAAGGTCATTAGAGACCCCAAGAAGAGCTGTTTCTGTAGAAAGAGCTCTACGAAAACCTGACTGGGAAATATCATAGATGTTATGTTCATCAAGAGCAGCTGTGAAATGTTTAGCCACAACCTTTTCCAAAATCTTAGAGATGAATGGAAGTTTAAAGATGGATCTGAAGCTGCTATGGAGAGAGGGGTCAAGAGTCATTTTTTTAAGAAGCGGGTGGATTACAGCGTTCTGAAAGTAAGCAGGGACCTGACCAGAAACCAGAGAAGCATTAATAATGGAGATCACGCTGGGACTGATGGACTGAAAAGCTTTTTTTTTTTAAAGATGTGGGTAAGATGTCAAGGGGGCATGCAGAGGTCTTCATAGAGTTAACTACCGGTAGTTTGGTTAGCTCAGGCAAAGAAACAGGAGCAAAGATATCTAGGATGACAGGGAATGAGACAGAATTTAAGAATGGGCATTCATGCATATTCTTTTATCATTTATGAACTAAAACCTCATTATATATATATATATATATATATATATATATATATATATATATATATATATATATATATATATATATATATATATATATATATATATATATATATATATATATATATATATATATATATTATAATATAGATATTATATTAAACATGAGTGAGAAAATAACCAAAATAGTCCTAGATTTTTTTTCGTCTTTTGTGTAGGGCAGTGTGCTGAAATGCACATCTGGCTGCCAAAAACAGAGGAATCGGAAAAAAATAAAAATAAAACTGTGATCATACGGTCACAGCGGGCAGCAATAACCTCATTATTCTTCTGATGGTAGCCAAACAGTCTCCTGTCAACAGTCGGTTATTAATTGCACACTTCGTGCCAACTACAGGCCACAAACCCTCTGTCTCTAAACTGGTATAATTGGCTTCCTGCTGTTGCAGCATCAAGACGGATGCAGACACTTTGCTGAAGACTCTCCAAAGGCCTTATCACCTGGAACATGTAAAGATATCAGCAAAATGTAGATCTAAAAAACTGTGGGATAGATTATCAGTTGATATCTTATTAATTTAAAGAATGCTTTTGTCTTTTTTAACTGATGATGATCTCATGCCTGATGATAGTTGGAAAATAAGGAGACACACTGAGCAAATTCTTATAATTGATCTCCTTTATTCACTCCATGACACAAGCTTTCCAGTCAATAAACACGCTTAAATGTTGCTTTGTGGCAGTTTGACAAGCTCTGAGGCTCTTTAACCCCACGGAGTTCAGGTAAAAATCTGGGTGAACTGGAGCTGCTGGTGAGGAGACAAGGTCATCTAACATTGCCCTTCAAGTAACTGGACAATGCTGACACAGTTCCAGGACTGATGGAGTGGTTGATTTATGGCTCTGGGAGAATTCATAATGAATTAAACAGAACAAAACAAAACAAAAAAATCCATATTATTGTTATTATTGTTATTGTTATTGTTATTATTATTATTATTATTATTATTATTATTATTATTATTATTATTATTAACATGTGTGTGCATGCAGTCTACTAACAGAATATAAAGACAAACGTGTACCCAGTCATGCACATCTAATGTAAAATTAAATGATCTGGATTCAGTTTGAGGCAAAATACTGGAATAAACCTGATACAAAAACACCAGCTAACATTAAGCATTAAGTAGGTAAGAATAACAAAAGCACAACTAGACTACATTAACGTTTTCTCACGAATTCACATTGATTATGCAGCAGTGGAAAGGCTTGAACAGTTTTTAATTAGAAATATTTTTTCCAACTGTAAATCTAAAATCTAATATAACCTGCAGGTGGATTGAGGCCCATGGAGAGCTTCTAGCATTACGGGTGGAAAGACAAAGAGGGGAATGGGTAAATAATATAGAGATAGTTCATCCTCTCATACTGTGGCGCACTGCGGCCAGAAGAGGGCATTGATGTTCTGCAGATACATGAGATCAGCTCTGGCTGGAGAAGTGTTGTTGTGATATAAATTCAGTTCTTTTTGTGACCCTAACTGAAGACTAGAATTTTAAACATCCTTATCCATGTTGTCAGGTGGGATTCCTCAGTTTGACTTGTCTTAAGAGTTGCATTCAGGGACTCTGCTGGCTGCTGGTTGTGGCCCCCCGGGGCGATCCTCTGTGCCTCTCGAGGGGGGAGGGGCCCTTCCTGGTTGCAGTCTCCTTGGGGTTCCTGCGTTCTGGGGCAGCGCCTGGATCTCTGGGACTTGGAGCTCCCCCCATCTCCTGCGCATCTTTGGGGGGCGGATCTGTGGTCCCTCACACTCTCTGTTGGACGTTCCTATAGAGAAACCTTACATAAACAAGCGTGTGTACACACACAGGTGCTCACATGGTGCTCTCAAAAGTATGGGCTTGGGCACGTTCAACACAGGTCTTAAGACTATGGTGGGCACTTAATGCACTGTGATTTATTATCATGATTCTTCAGTTAAGCAATGTTGATTATATATATATATTTTTTTTCATCAAGTTGACGCAGTGATAGGTAGATCTTGTTGTATTGTTGTTGTGTCCCTTTTTTTGTGTCCTTTTGTTTTTTTTTTGTCTTTTTCTGCAGGTCTAGAAGCAGACTCTTGTTCATTATTGTTTATTTTTGTGGAACCCCCCCTCCTCTCCCCACCTTTTCTTTTCCTTTCTCTTTCACCTCTGTCTCCGTGTCTGGTCGGAATTACAAAGCATTCAACAACAATAACAATAAAGTTTTAAGTATCAGGCATGACATTAAAATCAAACGCTTTGATGCTCCACCTGAGAAAAAATCTGTAAGGCATTCAGACATCAATTCTGCTTGCTTCACAGCCAGACAGGACACGGTAAAAAAAAAAAAAAAAAAAAAGAGTTGCATTCAATGCAACATTTCTCATCCATCTTCTCACACTTGAGATCTAAAACTGAAAAGGACGATGAGGTCAGAGCAGGACAGAAATATCCTGAATAGAGCGTTAAATAGCACTCACAAACAAAAAAGTTGGAGCAATTAGAACAGCCTGAATAGTTACATTTGATTCCTTTTCATCTGTAGTCATAACCTGTTAAACAGGAAGCGCTCGGCTCCACCTGCTCAGTGAAAAATATGTTAGTTTTGCTCCAATCAGATCAAACCCTTTCTCACAGTAAGCACTGAGCCTCAGTTGAACTCCTTGTATTATATAAAGACACAAAGTGGAGCTTTTAAACTGTTGCCCAGGAATACCAATGAGGAGTTTAGCACCATTCTCTATAACATCTACACACACCATGCTTCCTGCAGCAGCACAAATACTGTATATGTGGGCGTGGGGGGGGGGGGGGGGGACATTTTTCCATCACGAAAAGATAAGTTTGCTCGTAAAACATGCCACTTTTCAATCCCCTTTCTATAAACAGCGTTTGGGTGTGTGTTTAGAGTGAGAATAATCACGTCACCATAATTTACCGTCAAGGAAAACAGCCCACTCATGTTTTATCAAAGAGGTGTTTGTCCAGAGCTGCTGTAAATGAGTGTGACTTAAAGCGATGACAGACATGACCTGAAACTAATCTGATGTCCAGTAGGAACAGGATGTGACTACGATCTGAGTGCAGCTATGGATCAGTGTAAAAGGCAGCAGTCTGTCTGCAAACTGCAGAGTGAAACGTTTCAGTGCCAGAAAGCCAAAACTCTCATCTAATGACCCCAGTGGTCTGCTGGTTGACGTGGTCAGTTTGTGTGTGATCTCATCTAATGAGCTCACAGCTTTCATCACACCTGACTCTCAGGTAAAAATAACATAATAATAATAATAATAATAATAATAATAATAATAATAATAATAATAATAATAATCATCATAATAATAATCATAATCATAATCATAATAATGCATTGAACTTATATAGCACTTTTCAGGACACTCAAAGACGCTGGTAAAAATAGCCTTACTGGCTATGAAGCAACACATTTTCTGGTTAGAGTCCTCCTGTCATTTACCTTGGCACACAAGAGCAGGGTGGTGTGAGGCTTGGTGCTGCGAGGGGGCCAGCCCGCCAATCAAACGCTGAGTTTACAATGGAAACAGGAAGAGGTGAAGTGATTGGACCCATGAGGACTGAAACTGTAGTGAGAACCTTGTCAAAATTTGATTGATGTTTGCCTGCAATTTCTAAAGAACAAACACATAAAGTGTTTGTGTTTTTACCTCATTAAAGTCAAAGGTCAGGGGCAGCAGTAGCTCAGGTGGTAGAGCGGGTTGCCTCATGGGTTCAATTCCAGCTCCTGCCAGGGTTATTCTGCTGTTGTGTCCTTGAGCAAGACACTTCACCCAACTTGCCTGTGTTGGTGGTGGTCAGATGGGCTGACGGCACCAAATGGCAGCCTCACCTCTGTGAGACCACCCAAGGGTGGCTGTGGCTACAAAGTAGCTTACCATCACTAACAGTGTGTGAATGTGAGAGTGTGTGAAAGCGTCTTTGAGTGTCCTGAAAAGTGCTATATAAGTTCAATGCATTATTATTATTATTATTATTATTATTATTATTATGTTATCAAGAAAAGACACGCCTTTGATTTATGACTAAAAATGGTTTGAAAAGTTACTGAGAAATATGTCAGGATGAAACAAAAGTACAATAATGCAGGAGAGAAAAGACTAATTACGGCCTGAATATCAGTTTATAGAAGTTTTACTGATAATAACACACACACACACACACACACACACACACACACACACACACACACACACACACACACACACACACACACACACACACACACACACACACACACAAGAGGAGATAGCTTGAATCTTTCACATTTTTTAATTTATTTTTATATCATTCCAACTGGAGCATTTGCATTTACAGGAAATACATTATGTGCACATCTCTAATAGCATCAATTTAGTGCATCAGATTGAACCTGTGGCATGCAGGGTTGAGAGTGTTTAGACATATGGATTAGGTTTAAATTTAAATGTTTGCATGCAGTAAAAGTGCTCAGATGTTGTGACACAAAGGGAGAGCTTCAACCTTCTGCTCATCCATTTATTTCATTGGTTGGATTTGTTAAATCCTCCGTCTGCCTATAAAAAAAGAGGCAGGTTTAAAGCTTGTAGCTCATTATTATACACATGAGAAACAGACAGAGTATGAAAACAGTGAGAATTCTTAAAATTGTCTTATTTCATCACCAACCTTTCTTGGACAAGTTTCTTTCCTGGAAGAAACAAACCAACAGGTCAGTTGTGTTGCTGTAAAACAGTGGGGGTCTTTTCTGTTCATAATAAAAAAAACTGACTTTTTCTGTGTTTCATCCAACAGAAACAGATGCAACACAACAAAGACAAGGATCCACACCCAGCGACAGCTAGCAGAGCCTGTTTATAACCTGGGAAAAGATGACAGATTTTCTATTCTCAGTCACAACTCTGGAGAAGAGTCAGCAAAAGCAGCAGAGCAGTGAGCATGTTTAAATTTAAAATGTGCACATCAGTACTTGCACAAATGGGTCTGGGACCGCTCCATATCCCAGTGGCCCCACACGTCACAGCGAACGAGCCAGTCATGAGGAAACCGGAGCTGCATTTGAACCTGCAGGTTGAGTTGAAGATCAGGCCTTCATCTGAGCAGCTAACGTTTCCGTCATCAGGCAGAGAGAGAGGGGGGCATTTAACAGCTGGGAGCACAAACAGGTAGAGCACAGATACAGAAAATCACTCCCTCCATCCAATTATTACTTTGAATTAAACAACAATGCATTGTTGCAATCCAAACCCTGTTTATCTATGACCTAAGACCGGATTGAAATGCTAATTTGGCGCGTTTACTTGCACAAACAGGTCTCAAAGCACTCCAGACCCCAGAAGGTGAACAGGTCACCGCTGATGAGCCGGTCAACAGGAAACCGGGATGGCATTTAAATTGACAGGTTGTGTTGAACTTTGAACTTCCTTCTGAACACTTCAGGTATCCATTCTCAGGCGGAGACAGAGGGGGGCATTCCTTAGCTGGGTCACACACAGACGGTTATATAATATCTGAAAAACAGCTTGCTGCTGTAAAAATGATCTGTTTAATGAGGGCGGATGCTGAATCTGCATTTATATTCTTCTTGATGTTTGCAAAAAAAAAGATCAGGAAGTGATGAAAAAGATCACATTTGTGCACAGAAAAGGGGAAATATGTGTTTTTAGTTATTTTGCACAATGAAAGTTGTTATGGGTGTTTTATTTGAGCTATACAGTCACTTTAGAATAAAGAAGAGCTGTGTCCTCACCTGTTTGACACCTGTTTCCTATGAACCCCGGTTCACAGAGACAGGCTGAGTGGTTTATGGTCTCCACGCATCTTCCTCTCTCACATGATGATGCATTACACTGGGCTGCAGGAAAAACACCCTTCATCACCTCTGAAAATAGCTCCTCAGCTCATTTGTCTACAGGCAAACAGTCAAATTCACACACCTTTGAAACAAACTGGGAACTTTTTACGAGCACATTTCTCATCATTCCACTTTCCCCGATCTGGCCCGCTCTTCACGTAGATCTCCACACAAAACTCATTGCTGCGGTTGTTGTTTGGCTCGTTTCTGGCCCAAGAACGAGTTCCGATCCAGGTGCTGTTATTCCCGATCCAGGTCCAGGTCTTGCTCAAGTGGGTTTTGGTGATTCCGATCCAGTAATAAGGACTCTGGGTTCGGTTTGGCAAAAGGGAGACAACATAATCATTCTCTCTCTGGCTCTGGATCACCACCATGTCCGTGAAATTTGCCTGGCACCACTTCCTGGCATCGCTCCAGTTCAAAGTTACATTTGAGTAGTGGTATGTCCAGCCAATGGTGGTTCCAGCCAATGACCATCCTAAATATAGTGTAAGACACACATCAGACATAGTTTCTACAAAACTATCACACTTTTCCATGCTTTCGTTCTTTTTTCTGTGTTTAAAAAAGAACGAAAGCATGGATTTACAAAGACACAGCAAGAACACACCTAAGATATCACACTTTTACCACACAGCATTGCAACCAGGACTCACCAAGAATAAGAATTAGGGTCCACTTCATGTTCAGTTAGAGACAAAGTTAATATCGAGGACTTTCACTTTACTAAACACTATTTTTAGATTTTACTCACTCAGAACTCTTGCTGTAGCAAAATTATAACAAAGTAGTGTTTGGAACTTCAGCTAAAATCTTTGTTTTCCTAATCGTAAGGAAACTTTCTCCTGTCTCCATCTAACGCTGCATGGGTTGTGGAAACTGAGAATTGGTGCCAGCGTTTTATACGTTCCCTTTTGCTATTCAGCCAACATCCTCAGTGAATACCTGGATGTTTATGTTACGAACTGAAAGGAAACAATGACTGATTTGTTAAACTTATTTTACACGAACAAACCTTTAGAAAAATCCATCAATGTTTTGAAAAAAAATGTGGATTTAGGGACAGAATAAAAAGTGTGAATAAATTATTAATTGAACACGTTTAACAGTGATGTGGGCAATCTATGTTTTCACAAGTTTCTTTGTAGAAAACGTGCAAAGAGAGCTTCACCTCAAAACTTTCCTCCATGGAATTTGAAGTGTGTGTGCGTGTGTGCGTGTGAGTGTGTGTGTGTGTGTGTGTGTGTGTGTGTGCGTGTGTGTGTGTGTGTGTGTGTGTGTGTGTGTGTGTGTGTGTGTGTGTGTGTGTGTGTGTGTGTGCGCGTGTGTGTGTGTGTGTGTGTGTGTGTGTGTGTGTGTGTGTGTGTGTGTGTGTGTGTGTGTGTGTGTGCATGCACTGGATGTAATGCAAGAAAGCACGCTGTACATTTGCAGAAATATTTTTCTTGGATTTGCATATTTATTTATTAATCTATTCATTTATTTAACCATGCATCATATGTAAACATACCTTGATGGACTGCAAATGTTCAGATTTCAGATCTACTCCTGAAAATGTTTCCACATCTGGGGATTCCTGGCAAGTCTCTGACACAACAAGTCACGCGATGCAGTGTGCTGCATTTTCTTACCTAGGAAACTTTTAACTAATTGGCATAATGAGCTGAACTCAGTGCGCTGAGTATTAGGTTCAGTGGGAATGTGTATTCAAACAAGACAATTCAATTCAATAATACCAATTCACAACACAAGTCATCTCAAGCACTTTAGAAAGCAAACATTCCAGTGAAATCTACTAAACAGTGGACTGAGATCAATTCATTACTTTTCTCTTACTTAATCATTTCTGCCAACAGCTGCAAAGGGGAGCTCCTCACTCTCAGTGCAATAAAATTACCCAGTTACGAAATAGATTATTAATCATTTTCTTCTTTCTTTACTCGATTAGCTACTCTTGATCTTTGTCTTTCTTTGGTGGCCAAGTCACTCACCTCTCCTCCACCAACCAGTTCAGTGGCCTAGTGGTAGAGTGTCTGCCCTGGGACTGGATGGTCAAAGTTCAGATTCGGTCGGGCGAAGACTTAAAAAATGGGACCCAGTGCCTTCCTGTTTGACAGTCAGCTTTAAGGGGTTGGATTGGGGGGTTAAACCACCGAATAGTCACAGAGCGCAGCCGTGTCTGCAGCTCGCCGCTCCCCACAGGGATGGCTCAAATGCGGAGGACAATTTTGACCACACTACACAAGTGTGTGTGACAACTATGGGATTTTAAATATTTTTCTTTAAAAATCTGGCCTCAGCCGTGGTTTTTCAAAGCATTTATTAGTGCCTAATCATTTGTTTCTGAAGGACTTGTAAAGTTTATTTTGATTCAATTGTACTTATTCAGCAGTTCTGCGAGCACCGCAGAAGCCTGTTAATCACTTGCTGAATAAAATCAGGTGTGTTGGAGCAGGGAAACAACTAAAACATGCTGACTAGTGGCCCTCCAGGACCAGGGTTGCCTGCCCCTGCTGTAGATGGACACTTTTTAACATTGTTCTTGTTTTCTAATACGAGGACATATTTTGGGGAGAACAAATAACTGTTCATTTTGTGAAATGAAAATATCAGGTTTTTGTGGCATGCCATACATTTTAACTTAATGATTTTGGCCCTCATCTTGAAAAGTTCACACACCCCTGCTGTAACGGGTTAAATTCACGTGATTTTTCTTTCTTCAGAAAAAAAATCAATCGACTGTTGATTGAATGACCAAAAGCATGCTTTGTAAATAAATGAAGAAGTTATTAAAAAATAACAATCAAAAAATGTATGTAAAACATTAATAAAGTTATCTAGGGACCCAAATGATTTAGGGAGTCATTCTTTTTCTTAATAAAAATTATTATTCACAAGCTGTTAGATTGAAAATGTTTACCTTCGATATTCTCCTTTTTAATATCAGATATTATGGAAATCAGCTACTTTATTTTTAGCGGGGCTGCTTCTCTGCATGCTGACACAGAAGTTGTTTTCAATAATACAGCTGAGAGGAAACTCGGAGGTGTCACCTTCAGCATTAGTTAAAATCATTGTCCCACAAAAATGCTGTCAAAGCAAACATCCACTTCACTAAAACAGTGATGCTTGAAACGGGTTCCCTCAGCAATACGCTTTCCTCTTCCTCTTACACTTATCGTTGTTATTTGTCTACTCTGCTCTTTTGTTGACCTCTATGAAAGGTCAAGGGGGCAGAAACACACAGGTCAGGATGAAGGCCATCACTCCAACTGTGTGAACATCAGACAGATATGATGACTGAAACATGACCGGATGAACCTCGATAATTGACGGTTGAACTTTTATTCTTATTTTATTGCCTCAGCTGACATGTTTTATTATTCATAATGCTTTAACATGAATGAATCAAAGTAGCAACAAACTCCTGTTTTTTCAGCATTTATTAGTGTAAAAGTCCAGAGATACACAGATTTAAAAAAAATGCCCAGAATCGCAAATAAATAGTACATAAATACGGTTTTTAAAATAATAAAATATTCACAGTCGATATTTCCACCTTTCCAGCTTGTTCAGAAAGTTGCAGAACAATGTGTTCAACAGAAAACTCCCACTGGGAGAATAATACAGATGTTCGTCTTACATCACAACAGCCAAACACAAACAGCCGTCTCAGACTCCAGCTGTGCTCTAAATGAGGCTGTCGATGCTGTTTCTGTAGACCTGTGGGGGCTCCTCTATGTCAGAGTTGCTGTGATAAAAGTAATAAAAGAGAATACGATTGTTATTCAGACTTTACAAACTCTAGAAGGTAATATTTGAACTCAAACAAAGTAATCTTTGCTTTACCTATTGAGCTCAAACTTGGATGCTTTCTGCCTCAGTCGCCTCAAGATCCACACAGCCAGAGAGAGCCCAGAGGCCAGAGCAGCGCCACCTGCTGCCACACTAGTGGAAACGACAGCTGCACGGGATGAAGGGGCTGCAGAAAAACAGGATTAATCAGGCCGTTTCAATCACGTTTGCATCGGAATGATGAAAGCTTGGGGTGTCATTTTCTACTTTCTTTTATGTTTTTGCTTGTTTTACCTTGACAGGTGGGTTTCTTTCCAGTCCAGTTGCCATGACGATTACAGATCAGCAGCTCATGTCCTTCTAAGGAGTAATCTTGATCACAGGTGAAGAAGCACTGTGAGTTGAAAAGCGGCTCATCGTTTGAACAGTTGACATGTCCATGTTCTGGAGCCTCAAGGAGCAAGCAGCTCACAGCTGGATGTGGTGAAACCAAACAATTATAACAATTAATAATAATAATAATGCATTGAACTTATATAGCGCTTTTCTAGACACCCAAAGACGCTTTCACACACTCTCACATTCACACACTGCTAGTGATGGTAAGCTACTTGTAGCCACAGCCGCCCTGGGGAGGTCTGACAGAGGCGAGGCTGCCATTTGGCGCCGTCGGCCCCTCTGACCACCACTAACACAGGCAAGTTGGGTGAAGTGTCTTGCCCAAGGACACAACAGCAGGATACCCCTGGCGGGAGCTGGACTCGTACCCATGACCCTCCGATCATGAGGCAACCCGCTCTACCACCTGAGCTACTGCTGCCCCAATTAACACACACATGCACCAAAGTCACCGCAGCAAAACTCCAAATAAGGACAGATTTTGTACCTTTGCAGGTGGGTTTGGCTCGACTCCATTGTCCGTGCTCAGAGCATTTGATGGTGTTTGCTCCCTGCAGTTCAAAGCCTGGTTCACAGCTGAAGCTGCAGACGGAGTCTGGTCCCAGTTCGGTCAAAGGTCTGCTGCACGCAGTAATGATGGGAGGTTCTCCTTCTGGGTTCTTGCAAAGGATGGCTAATGTGGAAAGTGTAAAAGTTAGCAAAGTCTGCGTTTGTTTCATCACAGGAGATTGAATTTTACTTAAATTGCTTCCACACCTTCACAGTGAGGCCTTTTCTCACTCCATACAGCTGCTGATGTGCACGTGACCTTCTTCGACCCCACCAGACGATAACCCGACGCACAGCTGAAGCTGCAGACTTGTTTGTAACTGAACCTCATTTCTGTATCATCTTCACAGCTGAGATTTCCGTGTTCAGGTTCCTGGAGGGCAGCACACTGGACGGCTGGAAAACGAAGACAAAGCATCAAAACTGATTAATGTTCTCCTCACTCATACTAGATTTACACTAATATGGCACAGAGTAGAAAATACTGCAGAAGACAAAAGAATAATAATTAATAAATTAACCTCCATACCTTTACAGGCAGGGATTTCCTCATTCCACTGTCCATCATCAGAGCATTTGATGGTTTTTGCTCCTTGTAGTTCAAAGCCTTGTTCACAGGAGAAGCTGCAGGTGGAGTTTGGTCTCAGTTCTGATTCGCTGCACTGATGGATCACATGTGCTCCTGCTTCAGGACTCTGACATGCAATGGCTAAGGCGGGAAAAGAGACAAGATACATACATGTATTTAGCAAACTTACAGCTAAGTATTGTTTTTTTTCTTTTTTTTTAATGCATTCTTAAGTTGTGCCTTACCCTCACAGTGAGGTATCTGCTCACTCCACTCAGCTGTTGACGTGCATGTGACAATACTCGTTCCCACCAGACGGTACCCAGGTACACAGCTGAAGCTGCACGTCTGGCCATAGCTGAACCTCAGCTCTGTTTCGTCCTCACAGGAGACGAGACCAGCTTCTAAATCCTGGATGGCATGGCACTGAACAGCTGCAACAAAGAGGGGTAGGAAGCGTGTCAAAATCAGCTTTTTTAGTTAGCCAAAGCCACACAAGAGTTAACTTAAAAATGCATACAACACTGAGACGTGTGGTCATTCGTACCAACGCAGGGCGGCTGTGGCGCATTCCAGTTTCCTGATGACTCGCATTGCAAAATGCCAGATAAGGATCCGTCCAGCTCGTAACCTTCGTCGCAGGTAAAGACACAAGTGGATCGGTAGCTGTAGGATCCCAGGGGATCAAAGCACTCCATGGATCCTCTAGCCGGAGGAGATAGTTCCTGACACTGAACCACTGTAAGACAAAACAGACCAGATTCAGACCAGACTCTTTACTAAATAAAAAAAGAACATTGATAAAAAAATCTTTTGCAGTTGTGTAAGATTGTTTGACTCACATTCACATGTGGGGGATGTCTCAGTCCAGTTTCCTGTCTCACTGCATCTCTGAGGTCCTAGTGTGCTCAGCTGGTAGCCTTCCTCACAGGAGTACCTGCAGGAGGTGTTGTAAGCGAAGTCTCCATGCACGTGAGTGCAATTCACTCCTCCTTCATGAGGCGTGGTCACCTCATCTTTGTTGCATTTAACAACTGCAAAAAAAATTTAAGTAGCAATGTCAGTATTTAAACGCATCAAAAATTCTTGATCTTAAACAAATAATACACATTTTCTTACCATGCTCACACCTGTCTCCATAAAATCCTGGAGTACATTCACATCTGTGGCTGTTGATGGTTTCAACACATTCTCCAAACAGGCAGGAGTCATGCTTACAGGCGGCTGTGAAAAAAATGAAAAATACAGTTGTAAATTTTGCAAAGTCAAGTCAGGTTGCTGAGCAAAATGGTAAAAGTTGTGAGCTAATCAACAGTCCTCACCTGAGAAGCACAAAGCTGTTTTTAAATTCTTGCAGCGCTCATCGTTCCATTTTCCTGACTCCGTCTCCCTCTTTATGTACATCTCCACACAGTCCTCAGATCTTCCCACGATGGCTTTCTTTTTCCCGTTATTCGGTTCGTCTTTTGCCCAGTTGGTTGCTTCAGCCGTCAGAGATTTGTTTGTCCCAACCCAGGTCCAAACGTTGTTGATCTTGCGGATCCCAATCCAGTAGTAGGTCCTTTTTCTGGGCAGCCAACTGTTCAGGTGTGCGATCTCCTCCTGGTTCTGGATCGCCACCATGTCTGTGTAATGTGTCTTGCACCAGGCTCGAGCTGTCTCCCAATTCATTGTGGTGTTTGAGTAGAAGTACGACCAGCACTCTACGCTGCTCCACACGCACAGCACTGATGGATATAAAACAGACACATTTCTCATTTTTAACTATTTTATTTTATTTTATTGAGGAAAAATGTTAGAGCATAAATTATTTTCTGCATTGGATTTACATACTTGAGCAAAGAATGATGAAGCACCTTGAAGACGACATCTTCTACCCACTGTCTTCGATTGATCCAACGTAGAATTTCTATAAAAACAAATGAAAATGAAAAAAATATGAATCAACAACAATCCATGCACCATGAAATGGCTCTAACCATATAAAGTTACACCTTCCATCTCACCGTTTTAGCTAAGGAGCTGAAAAAGACTGGCGCTTCTCCTGAGAGAGTGTGAGTTTCATGTGCCGAGGGGCCTGCTTTTATACCAAAGTCTGGTCCGGTCCAAGTTTCCTGGAAGCTCTCATCACAGCCGGACTTTTCAGTGGAAATTCCCACCTCACATTCCTTTCACTATAATTCCTTGGAGGGAGGAACTCACACATCTATCCTTCCTTACCACTCTTCTTCCTCAGAATTATTTAATTAATTATTAATTAAAAAATAATTTAGGTAGAATTTTAGGTAATTTAATTAATTTTAGGTAGAATTGCCATAAATATTTCTAATAACAAGGTGGTTAATATAAAAATAAGACTCCTTTATTTTTACAAATTTTAGAATGAAATGCACTTCTGATGCTTTTTAAATTTTATTTTGGCTGCTGTATTAGTTTTTAAACGTACAACTTAATTTACATAATTTAATCAAATCATGAAATCCAAGTTAGCACTTAGAACAACAACACCAACCCAAAACAACAACAGCAACAGCAACAACAACAACAACAATAATAATAATAATAATAATAATGTCTTAAATTCATGTTTATTTAGGCTCATTTAGACATATCGGTTCAGTGTCGAATGGTTGGACTTGAAAATATTGAAAGCTTATTTGATAATGGCAAAGATGAACTGGGAAGACCAATATGAGGATGTGATGTTGCAAAGACAGAGAAAGAAACATATTCCAGACTTTTGGAGAAATACCTCAAGTGTGGTATAGCGCAGGAATGGAGGCGCCTGCTGGCTGCTTTTCTCTCAAAGTGGAAGTTCACATCCTTCCTCTCTGGCTCAAGGCAACTGGACGCACGCACGCCACCACTCCGTGACACCTCATAACCTCCACCTCTTCCCCAGAAAAAACAATATGAACTCCTTTCTGAACTCACTTAGAACCAAACCCCAGGGAGGGAGGAACTGGTCAGGTAAACAGATTTGTGTTCACCACAAATAGATTAGATAATTTTATATCGGTAGTTGAACAAATGCTATATAGGCTACTTATGCAGGAAATAAACAAATGTATGAATTTTGATCACATGTTGTAGTGCTGCTGCCTTGCAATGATCGATGTCGACCATATGATAACACTCGTTGTTCGAATGTTCTCTCCATGCGTTTGTGCCCATTTCCTCCCAACAAAACATGCATGTTGGGCTGACTGAAGACTAAATTGTCCCTAGGTGTGAATGGTTGTTAGTCCCTGTGAGACCCTGTGATGGGATGGCCCCCTGCCTCTTGCCCAGCAAATACTGCACCAGCTCCCTGTAAACAGTTTGAAAAATGAATGGGAGTGTTTTCCAGCTTATAAATGAAGACAAGATTTTTAAAGTTAAAATCTTCACTTTGTATCACTGGTTTTTTGCTGGAAATGACAAGCAACTCCATTTGACTCTGACAGTTTGAATCTTTCCAAGACTTTAGCTTCCATAGCTCCAAGACAAAATAATTCTGAAAAAAATAATGGTGGGTTAGTCAGCCATGGTAACATACCATACAGTCTGAAAAAATATTCTTAAATATCAAAGCAAATTCCTTTACTAACAATGATCTTAATGTATAACCATGTGATGGAAAAAAGGATTAAATCTTTGTGCGCTGGTCGGAGAAAAAGACTGAAGTAGAAAAAGAAATCCACTAAAAACTGAATCATGACTCTTTGTTCATGTTTACGTACAATATCATCTTAGCATTACAGCTCCAGGAGATTCATTGTGTCAGAAGCAAAAGATAGTTTATAATCTGTTTATTGATTTTTGCCATTTATTTATTTACACAGGTAAATAATGTCGTGAGTAAGTTTTGTCAGTTCAATATTAAAGAGAAAACAACTGGAACGAGAGCCTAGAAACTTCACTGTCAAACCTGGGAAAACGGGGTTTTACACACTTCCAGATTATTTACACAATGTTCATCCAAAGGATCTAAGGATCATAGGAGTGGATACAGCCCCAATGTGTGTGTGTGTGTGTGTGTGTGTGTGTGTGTGTGTGTGTGTGTGTGTGTGTGTGTGTGTGTGTGTGTGTGTGTGTGTGTGTGTGTGTACACGCTGGTTTTAAATAAACATCAGAGACTCATCAAAGGATGTGTCTCTCTCCTGGCAGGGCTAAAAAAAACATTCCTGTTCTATGCATTGTCTGAGTTTGCAGAAATTAAGTATGCTGAAGTTCAAAGGAGTTGTCTCTGTGGAGTGTGTGCACAGGAGGTTTCCAGATCTCATTTCATCAATATGTCGCACTATCATTGAGTGAGAGGTGAGGACACCCTGGAGGTCTCCAATCCAACACATCCCAGAGACAAACCATTATTCACACAGTCTTCAATCAGTCGGACACATGTTTTTGTATGCACTGTGGAAGGAAACCAAGCCATCCTGGATCCAGCATGGAGAGAATTATAACTCCATGCACAAATGCTGCAGAAAGGATTTGAGCCTTTGAGGCCCCGGTGCTACCAACTATCCCACCGAGCAGCCCAACATTTTTTAAAGATAAAACAGTTTGTGATAAGCTGTTTTACATTGAAATATATGGTGCATTTTGTAGTAAAACTGCAGATAATAGAGCCTCAATTGACTTGAATCCATTTTTACTTAAATAAACATGATATAATATTAACACTATTGGTTAAAGAAAGCAAAATGAAAACCTCTTTTGTTTTGTTTTGACCACGTGGGGTCAGCAGCGTGCGAACCGCGCGCAAACGGCCTGTCCCTTTAAAACCGGAAATAGAAATTCCTCGCTGCTGTGTTTGGCAGACCTCCAATCAGTTTGAGAGCAGCTATCAGCCATGGCAGACACGCTGTCCCAAATCCCAGACGTGGAGATCGATCCCGAGGGAACATTCAAGTACATATTGGTGAAAGTGAAAGTAAAAGATGGCGATGCGCATAAAGACATCGTGCGAGGCACGAAAAGCGCAGAGTACCACAGTAAGTTTGTAGGTTTGTTCTGCAAGCAGTGTGCCAGACATGCTTACTCACTTGCAGCGTGCACAAATAAAGCTGGAACATCAAATGTATAAGCTTTCAGTGCCTTATAATAAACTCATCACAACACAGAGCTGTGCTGTGAACCTGATCAGCTGTTTTCACTTGTATGTCTTTGATTTAAATGTTTTCTTAGGAATCTTTACTGTAAATAAGCCTTTTTACCCATTTACGCACCTGACCTCAAATACTTTTTGACATCTGGTAAGGTCTGCAAAGTTAGAATTTCACTGTGTAGGCAAGGCTGCTGCTTTACTGTGGATAGAGCTTTAAAGCTTTGATTGATTTCCAGATCACATATTTGAGAAGGTCAGCCCAGCTCTGGAGACCTTGGGGATGGAGTGTAAATGCCTTGGAGGAGGGAAGATAGAGCACAAGAGCAAGGAGAAGAAAATCAGGGTGTTTGGGGAGTCGACTGTGAGTTCGTTGGAACAGATTGAAATTAAAAACCTTGTGATGATAATAACCTTTATTTTGTTTTTTGTGCTTTACAGGCCTTTGGAAAAGCAGACCACGCTGCATCAGTGGAGAAGCTGAAGGCAGTCTACTGCGACTATCACATTACTTGGTCAGATGACAAGAAATAAGGGTGTAAAACTTCCTCTCATTTTAAATAAATGCCTTTATTTATTAGTCCAAATTTGGAAAACTATACAACAATACTCCAGCCCTCTGTTCAGTGATCATTTGATTGAAAACAAGCATTTATGTGTTTGAAAAAGCAGATTTGCATTCAACTTTTTACATTTGAGAGTAAATGTGATCATTTTCGTTTTCGTGAAATGTGAAAGTGATACATTTAGTCCTGAAATAAACTATTTTCTCCTTTTTCCCTTTGTTTTGGCTCAACTTCATGTAAATTGCAATCCGTTTGCCAAGCGTAAAGTCCATGCAGGAAGAGGTGAGTAAGCTGGAATGACGAACCCATCCTGTTGGCCTAAGGGAAAGTTTAGTGCCGGAGACAGATAAACACAACTTTTTCTTTCCATTGTGTCTGCACACTTTCATCTGTGTGATTCATTAAACAAAATTATGCAGAACTTAATAGACCCAATAGGAAGCAGACTAAATCTGGAAGCTAATATAATGTTTAGGGTTTGAATTCTTTTATTCTTAATATAAATATCAAAGTTATAATTTGGGACATTAAAATATAATTTCATAAGTACATATTTAGCACAGTTTTCAATGTGATGATCTTTTCATCTGAAACATTTAGTTAATTTAGTTTTTATTAGCTGAGACTGGAAAACTTTAAGACAAATTGTATTTTTCATTTATTAAAAATAGATTTTTAACATTTATTCAAACAACAAATGTAAATCTCATGATGATGGTAAAAGCATCCCTGGAATGAATTGGATTTAACATTTAAACTGAGCCAATAACACACTGAACAAAAATATAAAACGCAACACTTTAGTTTTTGTTCCCGTTTTCATGAGCAGAATTCAAACATCTGAAAATTTGTCTACATACACAAAACACCCATGACTCTTAAATATCAATCTGAAACCTGTCTACGTGTGTTAGTGAGCACTTTTCTTTTACCAAGATAATCCATCCCACCTCACAGGTGTGACATATCAAGGGGCTGATTAGACAGTATGGATAATGTACAGGTGTGCCTTAGAATGCCCACAATAAAAGGCCACCCTGAAATGTCAGTATCTGGTGTGGCTACCGTTTGCCTCACGTAGGGCAACACATAGAGTTGATCAGGTATTTGATTGTGGCCTGTGGAGTGTTGGTCCACTCCTCTTCAATAGCTGTGTGAAGTTGCTGAATATTAGCAGGAACTGGAACACGCTGTCGTACACGTCGATCCAGAGCATCCCAAACATGGTCAAGAGGTGACATGTCTGGCGAGGATGCTGGCCATGCTAGAACTGGGATGTTTTCAGCTTCCAGGAATTGTGTACAGATCCTTGCAATATGGGGCCGTGCGTTATGCTGCAACATGAGGTGATGGTCATGGATGAATGGCACAACAAAGGGCCTCAGGATGTCGTCACGGTATCTCTGTCCATTCAAAATGCCATCAATAAAATGCACCTGTGTTCATTGTCTATAACTTACGCCTGTCCATACGAGTACCCCACCGCCACTGTGGGCCACTCGTTCCATAATGATGACATCAGCAAACCGCTCACCCACACGATGCCACACACGCAGTCTGCCATCTGCCCTAAACAGTGAAAACCTGGACTCATCTGTGAACAGAATGCCTCTCTAACGTGCCAAACGCCATCAAATGTGAGTGTTTGATCACTCAACCGACAGATTGCAGATAGGTCCAGACCCCAATGAGGATGACATGCAGATGAGTTTCCCTGAGAGGGTTTCTGACAGTTTGAGCAGAAATTCTCTGGTTATGCAAACCAATTGTTGCTGCAGCTGTCCAGGTGGCTGGTCTCAGGTGATCCTGGAGGTGAACATGGTAGATGTGAAGGTTCTGGGCTGGTGTGGTCATATGTGGTCTGCGATTGTGAGGCTGGTTGGATGTACTGCCAAATTCTCTGAAACACCCATGAAGATGGCTTATGGTAGAGAATGAAGAATAATTTCACGGGCAACAGCACTGGTAGAAATTCCTGCAGTCAGCATGCTCCCTCAAAGGTTGTGACGTCCATGGCATTGTGCTGTTTGATCAAACTGCACATGTCAGGGTGGCCTTTTATTGTGGGCAGTTTAAGGCACACCTGTACATTATTCATGCTGTCTAATCAGCCCCTTGATATGCCACACCAGTGAGGTGGGATGGATTATCTTGGTAAACAGGTAGACAGATTTCAGAGCAATATTTGAGAGTCATGGGTCTTTTGTGCATGTAGAAAAGTTTCAGATGTTTGAGGTCAGCTCATGAAAAACGGGAGCAAAAACAAAAGTGTTGCGTTTATATTTTTTTTCAGTGTGAGTCAGATGTTGGAAAAAAACTGTATTTTTCAGTATTTTTTCCACAGATGTTTGCTCTCATGTAGTCAAAACAACTCCTTTATACTTCAAAGTTTGAGTCTGGGACCGTAAAGTGCAACCACTGCTATATCAGCATCTATCAGTCCACATCCTTTTCACCCCCATTTCCTTGGAATAAGATAAGTTACAGAAAAAACACAGAGGGCACAGAGGCACTTGTAAATCATCACAAAATAAATCAGAATTCACTTTCTGTGCACACAACAGCTTTGCTTGGACCTACTTGACCCTCATCAACAGGCCTAACCTGAACTCTAATTTTGGCTGCAGTGTGCTTACCAGCCACCCGTGGACCTTTGGTGTGTGTGTGGGGGGGGGGGGAGGTAAATAAAACAAAAGACATCTTCCTTCCAGTTTCCATCTCAACCCTGAGCCAGTTTCCTGTAAACTTTGTATTATCTGGATAATGGAGGTCAGCTCTTAAGCTACCCTCTTCTTGGAAAACACCTATGTTACAGTTAAGACCAATTGGGACATACATTATTTCCAGGGTATTTAACAGTGAAAGTGTTACACGTATGTGTCATCAGGTCTGGCATTTTATAAATCTCATAATGCTCTAAAAGTGGGTGTTTACTACGAAAGCCACTCCTAATGTTGAAGCTTCTGGGCCTAAAATGAAAGAAATATCTAATTTCTTACCCAAAAATCAATCTCACAAATGGAGTCACAAAAATTGATGTGAAAAACATCAAAATGCTAAAATATCAACATATTACACGACTATTTTACATATTAAACAATGGCCAAAGTGCTCTTTTGAATCCAATTCAAGAACAATTCACTTTGACTTTACTCAGTATTTCCACCATATTACACAGTCTTCAACATATTGTCACATTTCAATTTTTTTATTTACTGTGATTTATGAATTTTTATAGGAGTTATATTTCTGGGACTGTTTTCTAGTTTCAGCCTGTTCTTAAGCTGTTTAAGCTATCCATGCGTGATATGTATCTCTCTTTGGTTAAGTCAAAGCTGCAAATCAACCTGACTTTGCTTATGAAAATAGTTCCTTCCATACTTCCAGACATTTTAACTTCAAGTGGCACAACACACCTTGTCGGAAGACATGAGCGTCAGCATGGGGTCCTATTTCCCAAACAAGAAATCAGGGATTTCCTGCAGCAAGCAGCTCACACCTCAGGCTGCCGGAACAGAGGACACATCAAGTAGCTGCATGCTTTGCTTCAATTCTCCAAGATCTTATCAGTGGAACAATGGCTTATGGGGTCGTGCAGGTCAGAGTCGATGGTAATCCTTCGTGCCTAAATGTGAAATCTCTTTCATAATACAAGCACATTCTTTAAATTCCCATTCACCTTAGTCACTTAGTCATGATTGGTTGTCAAAATGATTTTGACCAGTTAGAAATACATGTAAAATCTGTGTTATACAGAAACAGCAAGAGCTTTTCTAGTCTCTTGAAATGTTGGGGTCAGCTTCTGGATGTCTGATTTACAAGCTAGAAAATCACACCGAGGCATGATATAATTTAATATAGTTTAAAATATATGATGCCAGTCTACTTTAAGATTTTTTTCTTTTTATTACTATTCTGTTGCAACTAAAATAAATATAGATTAATGTAAATATTTACTAACAATTTGTTTTTTAAGCTAACTCTTATTATTGCACTTTAAAAGATGAAATATGGAGTATTAAAGAAAAGGGGAATACTTTAAAAAGAGCATTATGCTATAATAGATATAGGCATATCAAATAAATGTCAGTCCACACTTTTGCATCTTTTGTCTTTTCTTATTCTCCCCATTTCCCCCTTTCTTTTTGGGAGTAAGATACACCAGGATACACCAGGAGATAACTGGTTCTGGTCCTGAGATCCAGCATCCAGCATGCTCCAGTTTCCTGTTTCAACACACCTGGTTATAACCAGTAGATGATTAACAGGCATCTTCAGAGTGTGATCAGTGATCAGTCATTGAATCAGGAGAACAATCAGAACATGGGTACATTGTTGCATATTTAATGTAAATATCCCACTGGAGGGCATCAGTTCCCCTCCTCTGTCATATAAAATCAACTAAACGTCTGAGTTTTTAGAGCTGTAGCTAGTTGCTTTACTTCCATTTCACGACCTTGCTTAATACTTACATAAACAAAGTTTTAAATAAGACTGTTCAAGTGAATTTCTCTGTAGCTAACTCCAAAATGCCTTTATTAAGAAACTTTATAAACATAGTTCTCTCGTATCCTTCCTAAAATGAGACTTTTTGGGATTAGATAAGGCCGTTGTCAGTAATCAGTAATGTTAATGAGTTTGTGGTTTTTAATAAAGAAGCTTTTTATCACATATTTACTGATGTCTCCGTGGCTAAATTTTGGCATATTTTGTGACAATTCTACTGCAGATCTGGAAAAAATCATCCATGCCTTTGTGTCATCACGCTTAGACTACTGTAACGCTCTTTTTACTGGTCTCAGCAAAACCTCCCTCTCACGCCTTCAAGCTATCCAAAATGCAGCAGCCAGACTCCTAACCAAATCCAGCAGACGAGCTCACATCACTCCAGTTTTACAGTCCCTCCACTGGCTCCCGGTAGAATATAGAATTCAGTTTAAAGTTTTAGTCCTGACCTATAGAGCTCTTAAAAACCAGGCTCCAAGCTACCTATCTGAGCTTTTATCCCCACACATCACCTCTCGGAACCTTAGATCCACATCTGAAAACCTCCTGGCTGTTCCTCGAACCAGACTGAAAACCAAAGGGGACAGGGCCTTTCAGACTATTGCACCCAGACTTTGGAACAGTCTACCTTCAAACCTCCGTCTCTCTAACACTGTAGAGGTCTTTAAAAATCATCTAAAAACTCACCTTTTCATCCAGGCGTTCCCTCCCTAAATGTTCTAAAAGATGGCTTTGTTTGGGTTCACACCTTCACTTTGTTTATACTCATGATTTTATTTTCTATTTTATCACTGCTATTGTTTTTCTGATGTTTTTATTGGTTTGAGGTATTTGCCCTGATCTTTATCATGTTGTACAGCGCTTTGTGATTTATATCTGTGAAAGGCGCTTTATAAATAAACTTTTACTTACTTACTTACTTACTAAATTCAAATACAGCAATACTAACTAGAATAGAAATGATTTTTTTTACGGTTTGTTCTTTGCTTAAATAACTCATTAATGTAAATACTTGTAATCTGTTGTTTGATTTGATTGATGAACACACAATCTATCTTTAGTGGCTTTACATGTTTTATTTACGTCAACTGGATGGAAATAGGAGAACTCAATCCTTTAGTATCTGGCTTGTCTCTTCTGGAGACAAGCGGTTACTACAGCATTCAAGAACTTCCTGATTCCATCAAAATAAAACATACCCCTTCAGAATAACATAGTTAGATAACAGGAAAGCTAGAACATACTTACTTACACAAACTACTTGACGACTAAAACGGAATAAATTTGTTTCAATTATCCGGGTAAAGCAAGATTAAAACAATAAGCTACAAAAGAGCTATTAGCAGCTAGCTTCAGCACTACAAACATATCTGATAATACGCTCTTGGGCATCACAGGGCAAAACTAAATCCACGGAGTGATTTCACTTTTAATAAATTAAATTAAGTTATTAATAGGTTAAATAAAATAAATATATTTAAATACAACATTTTACCAGCATACGTTTGTAGTTTCTAATCAAGCATAAACACACAGACATTGATACATTTAACTTTTTTTAAATGGTTTATATTTTATTTTGAACAGGAAAAGCATTAATGTATTATTATTACACAATAAATGTCTAAACTACATTTATCTAAAAAAAAAAACAAAATTAAACCAAATACAAATAAAAAGCTATTAGTATTATTTGATAAACTTATTTAATCAAATAAATACATTTTTTTAATTATATGCAACATATCATAATTACATGTATATGGTTTAAAGGTGTAGCGTACAAAAGTGTCAATTTTCACATCTAATTGACCACAAGATAACCTTTAGTTTATAGAAATAAACCAACTATCCATCAGGCCTCCAAATCCAGAAGGTTCTGCTCAGTGCTTGTTTGCATACAAGAAGACATGACGAAAGTGTCAAGGTCTCCTGCAAAGGTCCTGCAGTCTCTGTGTAAAAGCCAGATGGCTGATTCCTAACCCTAAATAAAAATCAAACCTACTTGAAGCTCCTGCAGGACTTTACAACTCATACGCTTAAATAATCATACGTGTTAAATGAACACGATGCTTAAATCAAACGTTTGAATAATCTGTGCTTAAAACAATGATGGCTTTAAAATGAATATTGCTCTTACAATGATCCATTTCAGAGCTTATGATCAGTATGTGTTTGGTTTAACAAGTTAATCATTATCTACACTCATACACATTACATCAAGATACTTATTAAGGATAATATCAATCTCACATAAGTGTTTTAAAACATTCTCATTCACAGAGTTAAACATCTTTGTATCTGAACAAGGCGTGTCTTCTGAGGAATGTTTGGTAAAGCCACATAACGTGTCAAATTCTGATTTGCCAAACTTGCCAAAATTTATCAACATTGTGGTTTATTAAAACGAAAATTACTTCCCGATTAACTAAGTTTCTAGCTGACTCTCGAACCGGCCAATTCAGGAACAAGCATTTTTGAAAGAATCTCCTTTGACCTCCAGTCAAAGCCTCCGCAACACTGCGGCTGATATCAGACAAACGGCTCTTCTAAGAGCCAAGCAAACAGCCTTAGATGCAAACAAGCATTCCAACTTCCTTTCACCTGGAGAAATCTCAGACTAGACGGGTCCTATCGGAGCTAATCTATGAGTTTTTTATATCAGAGGTCCACTCCACTGGCAGTGACCAGTGACCATCAACCCCCTGGATCAAACGAGAATCTCCACTCAAAGGGTGCGTAGACTTGGAACAAATTGCGTTGGATGGTTTTTAAATAAACCACTCTCTAGTTATAAACAAACAACAAATTCTTTTAAAACCCAGACTTCACAACTCTCTCAGATACAAAGAATGGTTCTGCTAAAACATGCAGCTTCCATTACAACATTTCACACATCACATTAAATCACTTCATATCCATTGCATCACATCTCATTATTCCTATCTTGCCATGTATAATCATTCATTTAGGAAAAATAATTCAATTAATTTTATAAACTATGTACTTGACTCTGTCTGAATTAATACGAAGTGTGTTTATGGTCCCTGGAGAAGCAAAGAACCCTAGAATCTTCTGAGTAAACATTCAGAGATCAATCAGGTAGATATTTCATATTTATATGCATTTATCACATCCTATTGGTCATAATTAACTTGTAGTTCCACTACAAAGAGTAAAATTGAAGACAAGTAAAATGTACAGGAACGTAGTCAGGTCGAGAGGTTCCAACACTAGATATAGTCTGACTGACCTCAACACATGGCTCTGGAATGTGCCGAGCAGCCTCTAACCCTAGCTTCCATATTGTCATACATTTTAGCTGAGTGGTTTGATTCCAGATAATTTAGTGTAGAGAAATAATATTTAAAGTCATTAATGAATCTCGGAAAAGAAGGTAAAATGGGTTTCCACTTACTCCAAAGAATATATTTATTTCCCAATAATAATAATAATATTTATCATGTCAGATAAAATTTGAGGTAAACTATCCATGTAAAAACAGTATGAGCTAAGTCAAAGCTTGGTATATCATTTATCTTTAGTGATAGCCATTCATGAATTTGCATATTTAAAAACGTGTACTCGAAAAGTTGAGGAATTGCTCTGAAAGGAGGGGGCAGTATTGTGCCATGATCGACCGGAAATGATTAGAAGAAGAAGCAGCAGGAAAGAAAGTAAGTGTATTACGTCACATCCGTCAACAGTGGCGCGCTGTTTTCTAAACTTCACTTTTGACTGATTTACGTCTCAAAGTTTTTTAAAGTGAAGTGGCAACTTTATGAAAGACGAACATATATAATTATGAACCTAATTCGACGCCCCTGTTCAGAAGACTCCGCTGTGTTCTGTGCGTTTAAGGTCAGAATTTCCATCAGTAACAACCAGCCTGTGTTTGCTAACATGAACCGCAACATTACCCTGTTTGCTAGAGCTAAAGTCTGGCCACTCTTTCTCTAGCTTCTCAAATCCGGTGTTCACATTAACGCTCGCTGAGAAGTTATTCTGATAAATCGGAAGTGAATAATTTAGTGATTCGTGTTTCCTAACCGCTCCTTCCTTTGGGCAGCGCTGAGCAGCACCGGTGGCCGTGTGTCCATCATGTCCCAGACCAACACTTCTCTCCTGGATGAGGTGGCGCAGTGGAGCCAGGAAACCTGTCGCCAGGAGCTCAAGTCTGTCCTGCCAAAACTGACCATATCCTCTCAGACGTGATGCCATCCTGCCAGCGCTGTCATTTATTTAACGGATCATAGATTTATTAAAAATGCTGTTACAGGTAGTTTTATCCACACGTGTAACGTTTTAGAATTTAGTAAGTCTACAAATAAATAAATAAGTGTAAACGGCACGCGTATTGCTACTATTTGTGCAGAAATTGTGAATTAAATATGATGTGATTAAATATTTATACACTTTTGCAAAATGGGTAAAAGTTTTTGTTTTGTTTCTCTGTTTCAGTTTTGTTATTGCACTGTTGGAAAAAATATATATTTATATACATTTGTGTGAGTGAGTGTGTGTTCAGGAATTCTCCACCCTTTCCTTGACTGTTTGTACTCTTTGCATTGTGAGTCAGACACTTGGGATGATCATTTACGTAAGTATTTTATTTGACCTTTTGACGAAGTTTGCACCTTAAAGAACTATAACTATCTAAAATGATCTTTTTGTAAAACTATGTACTCTCACAGGTATCCTGAAGGTAATTATAGACCTGTTCCTCCCGCATGTTGGTCTGCCAGAGCTAGAAGATGAGTGTTTTTCCAAGATCTTACCAAAGGTAAATATGGTAATAAGTCTCATCTTTATGACAATCTGATCATCAAAAAATGGTGACTACAGATATATGTTTTCTAAACTGTAATTTAGAATAGAAAAACAACACAAATCATTAACCAGCTTATTAAGAATTTAAGAATTCTGGTTTGTCTGAGCTAGTGATGAACACGTTGGAGGGGGGGTGATTCTGCACCAGGGGGAGTTTGGGGTGCAAATCAAAACCTTTAAATGGTTAAGACTGACAGTTGATCACTGAGCCACTCCTTATCTTTAGAAGGGGAAATTTAAATGAATGAGGAAGATTTGCTCAGGGGAGAAAATGTCTCATTATCTGTCAGCCATATAGAAGTTTTTTTTATTTTAGACAGAATTTTTTTTATCACACATTGTTTACTTCTCAATTGCAGCTAAATTGAACACTACTTCCTCTAAAGGAGATGTTCTGTTTTGTTAAGGATCTTATGATTGTCTGTCACAAATTTCTGCAGGCAGTGGAAATGTTTAACAGCATGATGAAAGAAATCATGGATCAAGTCGGTGGCCTTTCAACTCAAAATACTGAAATGTGTGCTTTCCTGAGGAACATTCTGCAGGTATTGCTACACCAAGTGATTAAAAACTGCTAAGATGGAACTTAGAAAGATGTATACTCTTAAATAATTAGTAGACCCTATTTTCTTACTCCCATCTGATACTTTAACCAGGCTCTATTGTCTGTTTCAGATGATGATGCAGGTAGTTGATGCACTTTCTGTATGTGTGCGTCATGTTGGCTCATTTGAAGAAGCACCTCACTTGGATGCTATCCACTCACTTCCAACTTGTATCCTGAAAATCCTGAGGGAAACTTTTCAACATTGCAAGGTTTGTTAGCTACAAGTTACTGTGACCTGTTAATAAAATGTTAAAACCCATTACATTTAGCTTAATGCATAAATTCTGGGCCCTCATTTATCAAATGTTTGTCAAAACAGTCCTATAGTCCTTCCCACGCATGAAATTTAGAATGTGTACAAACAGTCAAAAACCTAATTTATGAAACATGTGGTGGCCTCTTGTATGTACGTCCCTCCGCAGTCGTCTGATGATAAATCCCTTTCTGTCCATACCCAGGTGCTGGTGTCCATTCACCGTCATTTACATACAGAAACTCTGTCAATTAACCATATTTGGTCACACTACGTCCTCAGCATGTCAGGGAATTTCCTGGGTTTTTCCTGAAAAACAAACAAAAAAAAAAAACGTTACTGACAGCGAGTTCAAAACATTGGCTGCCGAAATGCAAAAGAGCCCAACAAGTTGCAGAGGTTATAAATGTGGTCGAGACAGAGGAGAGGTTCCTGTCAGGAATATATATATATATATAAAATATATATATATATATGTATATGTGCATATATGTATACATATGCATATATATGCATATGTATACATATATATACTTATATATATAAAATATATATACATTTATATATATACATATATATTATATATATAATAATCTATATATATTATATACATATACATACATGTATATATGTGTGTATATATATATATATATAATATATATTATATATATATATATATAATATATATATATATTATATATATATATAAACTGCATTTTGTGTTTACTTGTGTTATCTTTGATGACTAATGGTTAAATGTGTTTGATGATCAGAAACATTTTGTGTGACAAATATGCAAAAGAATAAGAAATCAGGAAGGGGCAAATAGTTTTTCACACCACTGTATATACTGTTTAGTATTGTTATTCTAGCTTTTTCTTTTCTTTTTTTTTTCTTTTCATAGATACGTCTGATTGTGTGTACTGGATATACCTTCATTATCATGATTACTACATATGCCCATAGCTAAATACCATTGGTGAGCCACAGCTTAGCAGGACTTTTTTTTTTCTTCTTTTCTTTTCTGTTAGCATTGTGATTATTTTATAATTATGTAAATGACTGCCGTCTTGTTTGTTACTTTTGGTTGTATAATCTGAGCACCCGCTTTAAAGTGAGATGCCACATCTCAATCGGTTTCTATCCTCATAAAATATAAGTTAAATAAATAAAATGAATAATATAGTTGTAAAATAAAACATAAACTGGAATAGGATTCATGCAGTTTATCTGTTGCTCCACAATGGGTCCCAAATCACAGCATAGCTCCAGAAGGATCTTCGGGGAGATCAATGCGCCCACGGAGAACGTGTTCCCTCCAGAGTGCACGCTCTGCCATATCCTCCTATACCACAGATCACCATGATATAATGTCAGAATTTAGTCGGTCACGTGTGTCTTTTATTGGTTTTAGCACCAATCATGCGAGAGAGCTGTTTTTCCACCGACATAATTGTTTATTGGGTAAATAATTTATGGATTTTGAACATGTGTGGACAACTGAGACCTTCAGTAGTGGTTCCACCGTTCTACATGCTGTTCATACGCATGGTCTGAGCTTTTCTTACATTTAGGAACATTTTCACGCACAAGTACAAAATGGTAAATAAATACCACACAATGCGTAAAATCGTTCCAACACACGAAATACGCACAGATCTGTTCGTAAGTACGGTAGATAAATGACAGCCCTGTTTACTGTAGGTTAATTTCCCTTTTTCCTGTCATAGATCATTTTAAAAGTTAACTGTTTATTTTTATTAATTTATATTGTCAATGACAAAAGGAAAATCGGGATTTCTATTGGAGTGGTTAAAAAAATCTAATCTGACTTTAAAACACTTGAGAAAATTTCATTTTGTTTTTCACAAGTTGTTGAGTTAGTAACTGTGCTGTACTAAGCTTAATAATTGAATTTTCTTTAATAAGCTGGCTTTTATAAAACGAGTTTCACCTCTAAGTCCCAATATTAGTGTGCTAAATACTGATTTTTTGTGTATTCCATTTTTTTAAGGGATGGACAATATATCAACTTCAGTATCGGCCGATGTTAGCCATTTTTTTTAACATATTGGGATTGGTCCGATTTTAAAAAAAAGAGCCGATATTATCAACCGACATTTTTTCCATCTAGTCACCATTTGTTTGCCTGTTTCAGAGGGTGAGAGGGGTGATTTGTAATTGTTTAGTCATGTCACAATGATTGTAATCATCTCGGAGAAGCGCAAATGTGTGTGTTGTGTGTACATAATAATATAAATTCAGCTTTAATCATTTTTATTCTATACAAAATCTGCTGATTTTAGAAGCATTAATGTCAGTATATCGGTATTGGCAAATATTGGTTATCGGCCATAACAGTGATCTTTATATCGGATATCGGTATCGGCCCAAAAACTTCATATCGGTGCATCACAATTTTTTTTGTCTCTTTAGGGGTCTTGAATTTTATAAATATTTCCTTTGTTAAAGGTGCAATAAGTAGGAGTTTTACAATGAAATAATCACAAAACAGTCTGATGTATTAATCATCGTCAGCCAGTCTTTCCTCCTTTTATTAAAGTTAAAGAGAGACATTGACTTACATGCGTTACATGTCTCCATACCAACACAGACGGAGAAGCATAAACAAGGCTCCTCTAACAGGAGGAGGGAGAGTCACTCATTTGTTGTGATACATGGACTGCAGTTCACAAATTTGACCTCAAGGTGACATTCTTGCTTCATGCACCTTTAAACTCCCTACCTAATAATGAATTAAAACCTTACTTACCTGCCTTTACTTGTTGAAACAGTTTTATTTTCATTTAAATGCCAGAAAGTGTCAAAACTGGATGTATTTATATAACAGACGATGACTAAAGCCTGCTAATGTGTTCACATTTCTTGTGGGTATTAAAAAAAACACAAACAGACTTTATTCAACATTGAAGGAAATAAAAGAACATAAGAGCAGCTACATGTTTTGGGCATGCGGTTTCATTTTAGAAACTAATATTAAACTAGTTAACATTCTCTGCAGGATAGTGAGCTGGTTTACTGTGACCGTCTGTCCCTGGTGGCAGACCTGCTGCAGGGATTGTTCAAAGAGGCCTTTTCTCTTCAGAAGAGTCTGTTAGAACTTCTGGACAGGATCTCTCTGGACAGTAGTGCCTCAGAGGTGGAGGTCTCTGACATTGTGACAGGTGTGTGTTGACGTGTGCATACACATTGGCATCTCTCTTCCATCGCGTTTTTGTTATTATCTGGCCTTTGCTTCACTGTACTCAGGTCAGTAAGTTCTCACTTTACTGAACATAGTCTTTCTTTTCAGTGATTCACGGTCTTCTGGATATCTGCTCCATCATCTCCAACCTGGACCTGGCACTGCATGCAAACACGTGGAAGTTCCTCATCAAGTAAGTCCTTTTATTGCTGGAACACTTTGCACTTCTAGGTGTCCTAATCCATTTTAACATCCACATTTCCCACTAATATTCCAGACAGAGTCTGAAGTACCAGTCCTTGGTGGAGGAACATCTACATCATGGTGACATCATCAACGGCCTGTGTGACAACTTTCTGGCTTCCTTTGACAACTCTGTGGAGCTGGCTGAGCAGATGCAACGTGCTGAGTTACAGGTAGGGAGGGTCGTGCTGTACACCTAACTAACAAAGGTTGTAGCGCTGTGTCCTGCTGAGATGGTAACATTTTATTTTTAACCACTGTCACATAAAAAGTAAGTATTTTCTATTCAAACCTGCAAGGTCAAAGGTCGACTGTCTTTTTCCCTGTTCCAGGAATTGACACAAAGCCCCGAGTACAAGCTGTTCCAGAAACACGCCAAGATGTGCAGATTTTTTGCCAACACTGTAGTTCATTACATAAAGGTACTAAAACTCTTTTTTTTGCAACCCGTGGTAATATATAGTTGCTGTCAGGATAAAACATTGCATCTGTATTTTTCATTACTTTCACACATTTTACATGAATCGCTTCAGTTGATCATCTTTCATGTTTTTATGGATGGCTTTTCACTTGGAAGTGTGAAAAAGGACATGGGACCACACAGAGTTAGAAGGGTGTTTTTATTCAATGTCTTTAAAAAAAATTGATTTTGGAAATATGTTTTTGACAGCTGCCTCAGAAACCTGATAGACTAACATGTTTTTCTGTTCTTTTTTAAAACAGGAGTTTAAATATTTTGTGACAAAGCACTGCAGAAACTTTCATCAACTTTACCTCCAGATCATCAGGTACAAGCTCAACTTATGTATTTTTTTGTGATATTGATACCGTTTTTTTTGATTGCTAAAACGTGTTTTTCAAAACTGCACACACACAAAACCCCAAACATAACACACAAATTCCTAAACTGTGGCTTCCCTTTGCAAACAAAACCCTGCCACCACATATCGTAACATGTTCCCAAAATGGAACACGTGTTTTCATTTGGTAAACACAGCCACATTTTCACATGACACACACATACCATTCATTGCTTAAACACAAGTAGCCTTTGGGTGAACACTACCAAGCATGGAAAGAACACTGAAGAGCAAAACTGAGAACACAATTGTCAAAAGGGAACACAGAATTATACACTGAATGTATGACAGTGTCCACTTTTCTCTGAGACAAACATCAGACATCACACAAATTTTGAGACAAAACATTTTATTTTTACTGTTACCCCCCCCCCCCCCCAAAAAAAGCATAATCATGGGGCATCATGCCGCCGGTCTGCCTGGCCAGAGGGCCTCATCAACATCACAGGCGATGTCCTCCTGGTCCAAACAGCGCTGGAAGTACCGCCTCGAGTGAAGCCCTGACAGGCCTCAAAGGCCACATCTCTACAAGCCTCCTCCATGGCTTGAAGCAGCGGGACCTGGCTCTGTGGATTCCTTTCGTACACCTTCCACCTCCAGGCTGATAAAAACTCCTCAATGGGATTGAGGAAGGGGGAATAAGGTGGAAGGTATAAAATGGAAAACCGTGGGTGGTCCTGAAACCGCTCATACACCTGGGCAGCCTTGTGGAAACTTACTTTTATGCTGCAGTCCCTGATTGCAAACTGCTCGCCAGACCCGAAAGTTTAGAGATTTGAATATTTGTGTGTTGTTGATTGAAGCTTTGAGAATTTATGTGGAAAGTGTGTGTAAACCTGAAAATTGTGTGTTGTGTTTTGACAGCAAGGTAATGTGAAATTGACATCAGAGTGTAAAGGAGGAAAATCGATAAGGAAATCTTAAGTAGTGATACATTGAGTCAAGCGATTGGCAACAGAAGTAGAGGTTGTGAAAATTGTGCCTCATTTTTGCTTTTTGAGTTTTAGCAATCGAAAAAAAACTGTAATCTGATTGAGATGATTTTGACTAGGTGAGACTGGTATATCAGGCCGATACATACAAAAAAGGTAAATATCAGCTGATATACCTCTTGTAGACATATAAAATCTGTCGCTATTGAGTGTACAGAATTAAGATTCAACAGTTGGTTCAATTCAGAAATGTTGTGCGTTTACCGTCGTTATTAGTGACATTTTAACATGCAGAAAAGGTGGAGAACGTTTAGATATCAGTCCTGAAAAATGGCCCAAAACATCTGCAGCGCATGTCTGTCATCGGCTGACCATGCCCTCTACATATTGACATCAGCAATAGAAAACCCCATATAAGTCCATCTCTAATTTGGACCCTTTTCTCTCCCAGTAAGTTTCCTCCCAGCATAAGCGCTCCAGCGCTGCCCTCAGCTCTGGCTGGGGAGCTGAACGCAGCAGCTCTGGTACCCATGGATGCTTTCCTCCTCCAGCTGCTGTCTCTGAGGTCCTTTGCTGAAGTTGTGCTCCAGCATAACCTACGTGAGTTTTAACACTACATCATTCCTTACAAACATACTAAAATGTTGCTGCTGCTGACATTAATTTGTTCTCTGAATTGTGCAGGGCTGACTCCTGAACATGAGCTCCCCCAGTGTGTCCTGCTGGTGAACATCTTGGGACAACTGGCTGGCCAGTCAGAAGAAGTGCAGCAGCTCTGGTACAGTGGAAGTCAGTTCTCAGAAGACACACCCAGGTGAGGAAAGGTTAAATTGTTGTTTGGAAAGCTTAAGTGTTACATTTATAAATAAGTATAATATGCATTATGTCCTTTGGAAGCCAGGGATTTTTCTGCTACACGTGAATCTGACAAGGGCAGCTCGTTATCAGTTCTCGATAGATTTATGTTGGCATAACGTCAACCTGTTGCTCTTTGTTCTCGATCCTGCAGGCTTCCTCTCTACCAGGCCATCTTTTCTAGTTTCCACCGATGCTACACTGAGCGTGGGGTACCGGTGCTGCTGCCAGGGGTGATGCTGAAGGGTCAGGCCCAGGTCCAGGTCACTCTGCACCAACACATCTGTGTGCAGCTCTGTGCCAGTGTGGCTGTGCTTCCTCCTGTGTACTTTCCTGTGTTTGTAAGGTCCACACACACGATCACTCCTTTTAGATTATATGTGATGTTTGTAGATTTGCTTAGATTTTTTTCTTCGTGTTCAAATTTCTTTAAAGTCTAAAAGGAGTGTAAACTATTTTTGAATAATGCCACTTATTGGGCAGAATATTGATTTATTGCTATGTTATTATTTGAAATGAAGTTTGTTTGAATTTTAATGAGGTGAATAAGGATGTCCTGAATACTATTTAGTTTTTTAGTTCCTGTTATCAGCCTCCTAAAACATGTTTTCAGTCTTCACAATCATGCATTTTTAAATTAAGCATTTGGAGTTGAATGAATTCACGTGTCACTGTTCCTCCCACCTTCATTAGTAAATAAACTGGTTACTTCTTACAGTGAGGAGTAATTCAGCCAATCATGAGCAACCCCAGAACAACCTCCCAGTAGAGAGAGGCTGCATTATACTAGGCTGCAAGCAAGCTAAAGTATTGGAAACAGTGGTTGCACTTTTTATTTCTTTCCTTTTATTTTAACAGTTTAACAGTGTAATCTGCTTCATTTAGTTTTATTTACACAGTGTTAATTAACAGCAAAACACTAAGTGCAGCGAAAAGAAATTGCATTTAATGTCCAATAAATCAAATTCAGAGAGTTTCAGGGCAACATTTAATATGTTTAATAGTGATTACTAAACACAAATGAAAAGGCGTCCTTATTTGAACCGTTTTCTACCAACTTCCCCTTTTATTTTTTTCAGCAGGAGTTAAATCAGAACTCATGATTTCCCCAGAAAATGAGTTAAGCCTGGTGGCTTCGGCCGCGGGGGGGGGGGGTCGCACGCTCCGTCCCGCAGCGCTCCTCTGTGAGAGCGGGGATGGGGATGGGGGGTTTGCACACATACCGCTGCATGCTGTTTCTCATCAGTATCAGCTGATGGAGGGCTCTAGTTTCGCTGCACCGTTCGTGTCGGCGGACACGGTAGGGGAGGGGAGGGAGGCGGGGCATGACGCTTAGCCTGGCGGGTGGGCAAGCAAAGCCTGGTGGCCCGCCAGGCTTATAAAGCGCTGGGGGAAACCCTGAGAACTCCATGATGAAGCAGTCTCAGTTTATGATGCTAATGTTATAAACGGGACTGCTGCAGCGCATTAGCCATCCGTTAGCCCACTTTGTCATCAAGGTGTGGATCTGAGAATTAATTAGCCAACTACTCTGCCATCATCTTCATTAATTTGTTCACATCATGTGAGGAAAAATAATGAGATGAAGACAAGCTGGAATATAAAAACAGTTAAATAAGGTCTCTGCAGCTGTTTGAAGAGAGCTGCAAAACACCTCAGGGTTTCCCTTTGGAAATAAATGTAGTCTTTTATCCCTAATGTTAGCCTCTTAGATGTGTGGAATCCTGAAAAAACATTTTTAAAATCAGTTACTCAGAATTTTTCATGCTACATGAAAACGGTCTCCTACACTTATCTCCTGCGTTAGCTTCTGATAGTAAATAAGACAATGAAACTCTAGGATTAGAAAAGCCTGACAGATCTACGTCACTGTCATGGACTCACCCATGTTGACGCGTGATGAGGAAAGCTGTTGTTGGTTTAGTGTCCAGGAAACATCAGAGAACGTCTTGGCTGGTAGAAGCTAACCGTTAGCATTAGCAACTCCACCACACAGCAGAAGCTCTTGTGTTATTTGTGGAGATAAAACGCAATGTTGCCTGCCATTTGTAGAGTTTCATTGCTGTTATCTAACTGGAGACAAGATGTTCAAATATCAGGAAACAAGACTCCAAAGCCTGCCTTTTGAAGCTCAGCTGTGATGCGGCTCACTTCTAGTTCCTGGAAATGATGCACCGGTGTTTTTGAGTTACAAGGCATTCATTCCTGCTAGAGACCACTGCAAATGTATTGAATTAATGTTCCACACCTTTAATCTAATTGTGTTGTGATACTGGACTTCCTGTAATTCAAAGAGAACAAAGAGTTCAGTTTCATCTTTATGCTACATATTAGTTTATGTTTATTTATTTGGCAGACGCTTTTATCCAAAGCGACTTACAATTAATAACCTATAGGGCACGTTGTGATCTGTGGGGGACACCGGAGTACCCGGGGGAAACCCACGCATGCATGGGGAGAACACGCAACTCCACGCAGAAAGGGTGCAGCCGAGTTTCGAACCTGCAACCTTCGTGCTGCGAGGCTACAGTGCTAACCACTGCGCCACCATGCAGCCACCTTTAATCTAATTGTGTTGTGATACTGGACTTCCTGTAATTCAAAGAGAGCAAAGAGTTCAGTTTCATCATTATGTTACATATTAGTTGAACTGATCCCCCCACGTTTTATTTGTTTGTTTTACATTTCCATGTTTTTATTTTTATTTTATTACCTCTCATTGTCTATTTGACTTCCTCACTCCTTTTTCTCTGGTTGGCAGGAGCGGTGTTTGGTTGATGCGGTGCTGCAGGCTGACACTCAGACAGCTTTACTGGCTACAGATGTTTGGTGTTTCACAGCACGGTGAGAATCTGAAGGAATTAAGGTTTTAATGTAAATCAGCTGTGAAATGTTATGATGGGAAAGCCTCCGGCTTATTTCACACATCCATCATAGCTTCAGGTTTACTTATTTGTTTTATCAACATGTGAAATTGTCTGCGCTTACAGATATGGAACAGCAGAGCTTTGCCTGCATCATATCCTCCTTATTGCTCAGATGGTGGGTGGGAACAAATCACACATCCAATAACCCCCCCCCCCCCCCCCCCCCCCCCCCCCCCGATGCTTTTACTAGGTCTAAGCCTTCACCTCATCCATCACCTCCTGTTTACTTCTTCCTGTTCTCCAGGTGAAAGCGTGCCCCACTGAGTGTTACCAGTTGTTTCATCTGGGAATGCTGCTGAAGCGCATGGTTTTCCTCATGACCCCAGTCCACCAGGTTAGAAAGCCCAGTAACACCATTTATTGCTCATAAAAAGGATGAAGTACAGTCATGTCCATAAATATTGGGACATCGACACAATGCTAACATTTGTGGCTCTATACACCACCACAGTGGATATCAAATGAAACGAACAAGATGTGCTTTAACTGCAGACTGTCAGTTTTTATTTGAGGGTTTTTACATCCAAATCAGGTGAATGGTAGGAATTACAACAGTTTGCATATGTGTCTCCCACTTGTTAAGGGACCAAAAGTAATGGGACAATTGGCTTCTCAGCTGTTCCATGGCCAGGTGTGTGTTATTCCCTCATTATCCCAATTACAATGAGCAGATAAAAGATCCAGAGTTCATTTCAAGTGTGCTATTTGTATTTGGAATCTGTTGCTGTCAACTGTCAAGATGAGATCCAAAGAGCTGTCACTATCAGTGAAGCAAGCCATCATTCGGCTGAAAAAACAAAAGAAACCTATCAGTGTGATAGCAAAAATATTAGGCGTGGCCAAAACAACAGTTTGGAACATTCTCAAAAAGAAGGAACGCACCGGTGAGCTCAGCAACACCAAAAGTCCCGGAAGACCACGGAAAACAACTGTGATGGATGACCGAAGAATCCTTTCCCTGGTGAAGAAAACACCCTTCACAACAGTTGGCCAGATCAAGAACACTCTCCAGGAGGCAGGTGTATCTGTGTCAAAGTCAACAACCAAGAGAAGACTCCACCAGTGTGAATACAGAGGCTTCACCACAAGATGTAAACCATTGGTGAGCCCCAAAAACAGGAAGGCCAGATTAGAGTTTGCCAAACAACATCTAAAAAAGCCTTCACAGTTCTGGAACAACATCCTATGGACAGATGAGACCAAGATCAACTTGTACCAGAGTAATGGGAAGAGAAGAGTCTGGAGATGGATCCTAAGCATACCACGTCATCAGTGAAGCATGGTGCTGGAAGTGTCATGGCGTGGGCATGTATGGCAGCCAGTGGAACTGGTTCTCTTGTATTTATTGATGATGTGACTGCTGACAAAAGCAGCACGATGGATTCTGAAGTGTTTCGGGCAACATTATCTGCTCATATTCAGCCAAATGCCTCAGAACTGATTGGATGGCGCTTCACAGTGCAGATGGACAATGACCCAAAGCATACTGCAAAAGCAACCAACGAGTTTTTGAAGGGAAACAAGTGGACTGTTTTGCAATGGCCAAGTCAATCACCTGACCTGAATCCGATTGAGCGTGCATTTCACTTGCTGAAGACAAAACTGAAGGGAAAATGCCCCAGGAACAAGCAGGAACTGAAGACTGTTGCCGTAGAGGCCTAGTAGAGCATCACCAGGGATGAAACCCAACGTCTGGTGATGTCTGTGTTCCAGACTTCAGGCTGCAATTGACTGCAAAGGATTTGCAACCAAGTATTGAAATGTATAAGTTTGATTTATGGTTCTTATTCTGTCCCATTACTGTTGGTCCCTTAACAAGTGGGAGGCACATATGCAAACTGTTGTAAATCCTACACCGTTCACCTGATTTGGATGTAAAAACCCTCAAATAAAAGCTGACAGTCTGCAGTTAAAGCACATCTTGTTTGTTTCATTTGATATCCATTGTGGTGGTGTATAGAGCCACAAATGTTAGCATTGTGTCGATGTCTCAATATTTATGGAACTGACTGTATATTCAACTTAATTTGACTATTGTGTTTTTCTAAAAGTAAAAACAATTAAAATGCAGCACATATAAGTAAATAGCGAGGTTTTTATCACAATGACAGACAGCTCTGTACGGACTGCATGCTGTTTACTTTAATTATAATTAATGGAGTTTTTCTTTTGCCAGGTGGAGCTGGTGGCACATTTCCCACCATCAAAGATGGAGAATCTCCCTGTGTGGCATCATGTCCTCCTCCGAGCTCTTTCTGAAGACACTCGTCTTCGTGTGGAGGCAGAAATTACCGAGCTCACTCAAAAGGTTCTAACCGATTGGCAGGGTGGAGGACACAAGCTGGGACAAATGGACCAAGTGGTGAGGCCAACCTGAGCAAAATGAAATCTATAATTTTAGCCTGTTGTCCTCTGGGATTAATAAAGTATTGATTGATTGATTATTGATTTTTCTTAAATGACCTAAAACATTACAATAAGCTGTGTGGAGGAATTTGAAATGAAAACTGAAATAATTTAAATGTTGCCAGAACTCGGTGCTGCTGTCCCTCCTATCGGTGCTTCGAGGGCAACCATCTCCTGGAGAGCAGTGTGTGCTGTCAGCAGCGAAGATGGTCACACAGCTGTGGTTACGGATGAGTCCTGACCAGGTGAGAAAGTACACACTCTGAATGAAGTCAGAAATGTGAGCCTGACCTCTCTGTAACTTGTCACTCTTCAGCTGCAGACTCACCCTGTTCTTCAGCGAACGCTGCAGCTCCTTCTGTCAACAACAGCTGCTTTAGTGAAAAAGGTCCAGCCTCAAGTTGTTTCTCAGGTAAACTTAAGTTTGTTCTGCTTGCGTTTATCAGCTAAATGAAGGATGCCATTTATGTTTAATACTGGCTTATATTTTAGGCCTTGTTATGCCTGGATGCTGTGGTTTCTCAAAAATGTGCTGATTATCTGCTGCTGGCTGCTCTGGAGTTCCTCTCATCCCTGGGGAAGATCTTTATCCCTCTGGAAACTCAGGTGATGCATGTCAAAAAACTAATTCGTGTTCTTAGCAGATCTACCAGGGGTTCATTAAAAAACTATTTTTCTACTTTTCAGATCAGTCTTAATATATATATATTTTTTTCTTCAATCTGGATTATTTTGACCTCAGAGTCAGGTTCTTCCCAGGCTGAGCAGCTTGTTTGGAGTCATTCTGGCAGACCAGTCCTGGCTGTTGCAGCAGCACGCCCTGGAGGCCTTTTCTTTCTTTGCAGAGGTATGACAAGAACTCGGATGATGCCATCATTTTAAATGTCTCAAACTAAATGTGTCGCTCTGCTGCTCAAGAATACAAACCACGAGGTGGTCATCTCCCAGAGCTTGTGCGTGGAAGAAACAAAAACCAAAGTGGTCAATTACCTCAGAAAGGTAACATACACTGAAATGAGGATCCACTGAGATAGAGGATTGTCGGTGACTTTTTTTTACTTCGTGCTTTAGACCCTAATTGCTCATGAGGATGCAGAATCGAGGCTACTGAGGCTCAAACAGGAGGCGGCAGCAATCCAGCAACACAACCAGAAGCTGGAGAGTAAAGAGACGGTTTCTAACCAACAGGCGGAAGCTGAAGTTATCACAGGCTCTGAGGTTCAAGCTTAGTTTTAATAAAACTAAAACTATTTTATGTAAAGCAGTAGATGGAATTTAAAATCACAGTTGAGTAAAATCCATTTTTATATGCTTTAACCAAAAGCAACCAAAGAGCTTTTAACCAGTGTGGTCTCAAGAAATGGATGTAAAGAATAAATCTGTTTTTAACGATCTCTCCACTCAGCCACGTGCAAAGCGAGCGCGACAGGAGGCCAGTGCAGAGGAGGAGTACAGCCGCTACATCCAAACAGCTCAGAGTGCTCTGAAAGCTCTCCGAGCTCTAGTTGAGAGTGATGCCGACACGACAGCGTCGCCCCCACCATGGCTGGAAGAGAGGCTCCAGGAGCTGCAGACTCTCGTAGCCGACATCAGTTCAGTCAAACACGCACCCTAGCTGCTGCTTTTAACTCTTTTTGTACAGAAAAAAAAATGATTAAACTTTTTTCACCTCAGAGGTTTTTGTGTAACTGTTCATTAAAAAAGTTTTTGAATACCAACAAGTTTTTGTGTCCATTTCAGTAAAAATTGTGTACAGCATTAGGCTCTTTATTCAGTAAAATGTTTATTTCACCAGCCACCAAAAGCTCAAATAAATTATGTTTTTCCCATTTCACATTCTTTTAAAGTGCAAGCTTTTAGTAAATCAAACTACTCTGAAACAAATCCTGCTGAAACCTCTACCTGAAACTTCATGCCAGTAACTGATTTGGCACATGAAAAAAATAAAAATAAATCACCCCCATTTTTCTTTGTCACCTTGATTAATAGCAAATGAATATAAATGGCTTCTTTTGTCCAGGTCCAGCACCATTGGACAGGTGGTTTTCTGTCCCGTTCTCAAACAGCGATGATTAAATGTCGGTATCAACAGAACACAATAGAACATAGGTTCAGCCCTTCCTTGTTCTGCGACATGAGACTCTACTTCCACCTCGCTGTTCAGTGGAGCTCTGGTTCAAGGATTAATGCCTCCGGTGGTTGAAGGTTTTGCTCCTGATGGGGTTTGTTGACCATCACCAGGCACTCTCGTCCTCCCAGTTGAGGTCATCGCCGTCTCCCCAGCCGTCCGTTTCACTCTTGGAAAAGAAAACAATCATTAAAGATGTTTGGAAGCTGTGGAGGCCTGAAACTGATACTAATCTGCCATCTTGAACCCCTAAAAGCATAAATGATCTAGTTGAATGTTAAAGAGCGAGGAACACCTAAATTCACTTGTTTTGCTGATAACCTGTATGGATGAGTGTCTAATGGTGCTGTTCACGTGTAACCATACTTTTGGCAGCTTACTGCATCTTACTTTAAATTTCATATTTCAGCCCAAAACCGTAATTAAATCTCCATTTTCAGGTTAAAACTGCTCCACATTGATTTCGAATCAGCCGCAGGTGATTGCTGTAGCTCTTGCAGGGTGACATTGTCAGTGCAGTACTACGTGGCTGCATTAGACTCCTGCTGAGTCTCGCCGCACCTCCACCTGGCTCAACCACTCACCTGACACGTTGGCGATTGGAGCCACTCGTAAGAAAAATGTCCTCCCCTATTTTCTAATGACAGAGGTAAACAGGAAATCCTCCTCCCTGCAGTCAGTTTCTGTGTCTTTCTCCTGAGCGACAAGTCGGCTGTTTCTGTGTGTTCGTGTGCACGCACTTGCTAACGACTTTTTATCATTATTTTAGCATTTAACATTTATACTAACTTCAAGGTGTAAACGAGGTCAAAGTCAAACATGACTAAAAGTTACTGTGAGCAAACATCCATTCCATTGAGGTCTTTTCTTTTTTTAACCATAAAATGCAGCGAAAATTCCAACAACAAATCTGAAAAATAACAACTCATTCACTGCCAATGACGACTAGTCATCATTTTAGATCCAACCGTTCACTGCCAGTGACGACTAAAGTCGTCATTTGCATTTTTTTACTGTTTGAGCATTGGAACGAGCCCCCACGCTGAGAGAACAAACATCTCAGCCCTGAAGCCAATCTTCATCTGCATACGTCACAGATCACATGATCAGGAAGCAACACATCCATGTGTTTGGAGATCGTTTTGGGCCGTTCCTGTAAAAAAAGTGAGGCGCGAACCGGAAAAGCGTCTGCCGATCACAATTCGACAACGGATTATGAAAGAACGGATAACGCTCGACACACGTGGCTTCTTCCTGATGTAAGAGGTGAGTCTCCTCTTTGTTTTGGTTGTTTTGGCATCGACATCATGCTAGCGCGCAACGTTCTGTGACTCTTAAAAAAACAGTAAAAACGGTGAGAAACGCTGGCAGCGAAGGCAGTTAGTGATCAGGAAACGGCTGGCAGTGAATGAGTTAAGAGAAGAACTGACTCACCTCTGGCAGGCTGGCTGCTGCAAACTTGGAAGTAAGTATTAAAGTGTTGATAGATGGGTCAGTATCTAAAGTCTGAGTGTTTCTCTCCTCCAGGGGCAGCAGACTTGATGACAACTTAATGTCCGGCACCATGTCTGCAAACAAATCCAGTTCAGGGTCTTGCGCTACCTTTTTCTTCACTTTGATGGTAAACTCGTCCCCTAGACCTCCCGTTCTACCGGTCTTTTGTGGTACTGTGGATTTGGTTTCTGGGTTTGTGGGGTTGTCTGATTTCTGAGAGTCTGTCTTCTTTTGAGCCCACACACTGCCCCATGAGGAAGCACTGCTACCATGCGTTGGTTGGTGCAGTGTTGAGGTCAGTTGGAGGGGTTTAGAGGAACTCAGTTTCATAACTACAGGAGCATGTTTAGTAGATTTAGAGGTGCTCCCCCTAGGAGCCATAAGAACAACTGTGTCTGTAGAGGGTGCTGTAGGGGAAAGGTCCGAGGTGGGTTCAGTGCCCTCAAAGTCGTCCCACGGCTCTTCTGTGTTTTCATGCCTGCTCCTCACTGAACTGACAGTTTTTGAGGCCTGAATGTGGATCTGAACCGAGTGTCCTCTCCTTTCACTGTCCTCATGGTCACTCCAGTCAGGCCAGTCTTCTATAGCGCTCTCCAGTCGGCCGGTCTGAGCCGGGCTGAAGGACAGCGGTTCCATCTCACGGTCCGAATGGAAGCCATTCAAAGGCAGAGTCATTTGTCGACTGACACCTGGAACACACAGAAGAGAAGACTCAATTTCACCCAAAATAAATGAAAATATGTCAGATTGTGTTTTAGGGGAGGGTCTTACCAGATGTTGGTGCGATAGCCATCAGCTTTTCTGCAGTAGCAGCTAAGCTACCCATGTGACTGAGGACCAAACTCTGACTTCCTGATGGTCTGGGTATAAAATTTAATGCTTTGGAAGTCTGAGCCATCTGAACACAGGAGCTCTCAACTATATGGACAGGAGACGCTGAGGGATATAGGAGTAGTATTAAACTCATCAAACCATCAAATGACTGAATTACTGCAGCAGCAATTTAACAATCATACTTGGTTTAATGTTCCTGTACACCAAAAAATATACAAAAAAAAAAATACTTTTCTACTCAAAACCATTTAAACGGAAGAAATTGTTCCCCTGAGTGTTCAAATTATCACCAGGATGGTAAAAAAATAAACTACTACCACTGATTATGCAAGTAGCTTTCTTTGTGGGGAGTCTGTATTTTAGTGTTATTAGGCTTCAAATTGATTGTACTGTCTTCATACACACGTCCATCATAACCAAAGATTTTATATTAATTCAGAGATCGGTCTTGCTTACTTTCAGGGGTGACTTCCGTCGACTTGGTAAAACTGGGCGTGGTGCGTTTAAAGACCTTGCTTCTCTCTCCACCTACGACCACTTGAGCACCCAGTAAAGGCACCAACACCGCCAAACTCTGCAGCGTCATGGCAACCAGAGAGTCACTGGTGTCTTTCATTCCTAACAAAATCTGCAACCGGGAATAAATGGAAGAGGAGGTTATATAATTTAAAACTGATTTCAAAATGACCGTTTGTAGAAACCCAGGTTTTCATTCCACAGTGGAATGTTTAGCTTCAATTTCTATCTGAACTTTTTGTGTATGATAAGAATTCTTTTTGCATTTAGATATTTTTGATTTTCAAAGACCAGGTTCCTTAATTACAGGGTATCTGCAGGTTTAAGGGAGCCAAACTGAAGACTTTTTAAGACCTTCTTTAAGGCCACTTTGACCAAATTTAAGCTCGTTGTCGTTTTCCTCCGCTTATCCGGGTCCGGGTCACGGGGGCAGCATACCAACTAGGGAGCACCAGACCGTCCTCTCCCCGGCCACCTCCACCAGTCCCTCCGGCAGGACCCCAAGGCGTTCCCGGACCAGATTGGAGATGTAACGTCTCCAACGTGTCCTGGGTCGACCCGGGGGCCTCCTGCCGGTAGGACATGCCCGAAACACCTCCCCAGGGGGGCGTCCAGGATCCATCCTGACCAGATGCCTAAATCACCTCAACTGACTCCTTTCGATCCAGATCCAAATTTAAGCTATTTTTTCTATTAAATTTAAGCTATAATTTCCAGCTATTGCCTGGAACGGGTGCTAACCATGTCGCGAACGTGGGATTAACCATCCATTTACCATTAAACTTGAACTTTTCCATGGTGCAAGCTCCCACTAGCTTACCCAGCTAATGTGATCATCTAAAAATAGTCCCCTTTCACAACCAGCTGAATGTGTACGGTTCCGCTTACACCAACATCGTACACAAAAAATGCTGAAGACTAACTAGAAATTCACGAAAATGTAATAGAAATAAAATAATCTAGTTTATTGGGTCTTTGGTCATTTAAGACCTTTGGAAACTGCATTTAAGGATTATTTGTCATTTTTAAGGATTTTCAAGGCCTTAAATTTGGAAAAGTAAATTTAAGACTTTTTAAGGACCCGCGGATACCCTGTAATTACTTGCTTAACAGCAGTTAGAAGTGAATGATATCAGAAGTCACATCACATAATTACAGCACTTTGGTGACTCCATGTAGTCACTTGAACTAACCCTTGTTGCCTTTGATGTCAACAACTCACCTGAGGTAGGATCTGGTTTTTGAGTTCATCATCAGAGAAGAACTCAGCATAGATGTGGATGTGAGCCAACAGCACAATCCGAACATGTTCCTCGTTGACTTTGTACAGTTTTAGAAGCTGAGGAATCACGTGTTTACGGTAAAGGGACACAGACAGCAGGCAATCTTCACCACGGCTGGGATCTGTCCATAAAAGTGACATGATGAACACCTGGTGTCTCACTTAAAAGTTTTAAATTATGTGAAGAAGTTGTAATAAGATGCTAAATTACCCTTCTTTGGCCTTAGAAGATGAGGAAGGAAGCTCTTGACTGCTGTGGGTTCTGCAAAAACAAGCGTGTTTAGAAGTTTGGGAACAAGACGAGTAGCTATCAGTTCCTCTGGAAGGGTCTGGACACGGTCGAGAAGAAACCTAAAGACAAAACCAGCACAGTGTGAGACTCTAAATGTGATCAAGAACTTAAAATTAAAGGGAAAAAAATGTTCTCACTTAAAAAACTCATTTTTCTCCTCCTCCGTTTTCAAGGTTAGACTCTTCAGAAAATTCATCACTTCCAGAAAGTCATTCCTATTCACAGAAAAATACCCGCAATGTTTAAAATCCCACTGCGGTCAGTTAGGATTGATGAGAATAATAATAATAATTAAAAAAAAAATACACACACAAACCTAAAAAAGTCATGACTCAGCAAAGAGCTGAGAGGAGGACGAGCCAAGGGGTCAGAGGTCAGCAGGTTGGCCTGCAGAGTTTTAGTCAGACTGTCAAACAGCTCCTGTGACACTGGAAACAGTGATGGACAATGTTTAAAAACACAAATGAATTTGAAAGTGATGCATTTTCAGAGATCATCTCAACTCACCATGATCATTTAGGAGAGGGATAAGAGCCTCCACCATCATTCCAAACGAATAACAGTCCCGAGAATGAGCATGTTGGTCCGGAAGGGTTTTAAAGTCCTCAGTCTGTAAAAACAATTATTTTTTATTTTGCTGGACATTCAGATATGCGTTTGTGTAACATTAGAGCTACCTACTTGCTCTTCTGGAGGAACAAAGGTGGCCTCTCTGGCATTCTGGATGCTGATGAGAAACTGAGGGGGTTACAAGAAAATAAAAACTGAAAACACATATGAAGTGACCCCTAAAATATCCACTACCTTTAATAATTAAAAATATAAAAAATAGACTACTTTTAGAGGTGTAACGGATCATGGGGGGGCGTTGAACCTTTTCTGTTTGGCCTGTTTGGTTCGGGCCACTTGCGTACAGTTTCAGTTGATTTTTTTTTGTTATTTAATGAATTTTTATTTGCGTGATTTGAGTGCAGCGGATAAAAGTTGCTAGGCGAGTTTCCGCACGGATGCTGTATTGAGTGATGCATGATGGCTGCACACGCCCGATCTCCGTTAAAAAAATTGTGATCTGCAAATTCTGATCGCCTTTCAGAGCAAATCATACCAGCTGGCTGTCGCCGCTACTGTGGAGCCTGTAGAGACGCTGAACAGAGAATCGCTTCGCCCCTCCCTCCCTCCCTTCTCTCACACTGTGCAGGCATGCAGCGGCAAAAATGTAAACAAACGCATCTGCTGAACTTTTTTCTGGGACAATTGATGTAAAGCTTTCATCCCATGACGAAAAAGACGGCGTGTAGGAAGCTCGTTATTTGATACGAGTTTTAAAGAAGAAACTCTGGGTGGTGTGAGGTGAGTTTTTAAGGCTCGCGGCAGAAATAAAAACACGGAGCATCAACAGTCAAACACAACACTTGTCTGTATGAGCGTGACGCTCATAGCTGCACAAATAACCTGTGAAATAATGAACTCATTCACTGCCAGCCATTTCCTGAACGGTAAAGCCCTTCACTGCCAGCATTTTTCACAGTTCTTACGTTTTTTTTAAGAGTCATGCTAGGATGATGTTGACGCCAAAACAACCAGAACAAAGCGGAGACTCACCTCTTACATCAGGAAAAATCTGCGCATTTCGAGCTTTAACCGTTCTTTCATAAGCCGTTGTTGAATTGTGATCGGCAGAAGCTTTTCCGGTTCGCGCCTCACTTTTTTTTACAGCAGCGGCCCAAAACGATCTCCTAACACATGGATTTTCTGCTTTCTGATCAAGTGACGTGTTACGTACGCGGATGAAGATCAGCTTTAGAGCTGAGATGTTTGTTCTCACGGTACGGGGGCTCGTTCCGATGCCCACACAGTAAAAAAATGACTTTAGTCGTCATTGGCAGTGAACGAGTTAAAGACATCACGCTAGATCAACAGCCTGTGATGACACCTAGTTCTGCTCACTATAAGAGCCACTTTAGATTAAATAAATATAATAATAATACTGTATACCAAAATTTAATCGAACCAAGCCAAATAAGATTTTAGCGCACCGTTACACCCCTAACTACAAGTATTAACTTTTTCTTGGTTATAAATTAATTCTACCTCATACCTCAGGAGTTGCTTCAGAGAACTTGCATACCGTCTCCATCCCTCCCAGTTTCCAATGACCGTCTTCACTGACAAACACAGATGAAATACAGACGTTGTTGTGGCTCAGTTTCCCCTGATGGATGACAAACAGGCATGTTTAAAAATTGAAAATAGCCAATAACATGTTGGTACCTCTACACTCTGTTAATCTTGTTATGACCACATGCTTCAAGTTACAATGTGGAAGACAGAAAATATTGCTCTTCTTGCTCACCCTTTCGTGTAAAAAGACGAGTGCCTGCAGGATGTCAAAGATGCCTGCACATATTTCCTCTGCAGATAGACGGTCTAGAAGCAGCTCCAGGGGCTGCACATGTTCTGTTACCAGATGGATGCCGCCATCCTGCACCGAGCAGGATAGGAAACGCAGAAGACACGGGTGCCGCAGTGTCTTCAGATGCTGCAGAAAGTCATAAACCAGTTCATAAATCAATTAAAATGTGAGATCCCACTTGTCTGAAATACACACAAAACTGAAAATCTGGAAAATAATTATATGAGCTTCTACTTGGAGCTTTGATTTAAAGGTGATGCTAGAAACTAGACCGGTTTCTGCTCACTTCTGTGAGTTTCAAACAATTTAAGTCAAAAATAAACAGTGCAAACCTCACTATGTGTATGTGTTGGACATAAAAATAAAGATTTTGCTGCAGGTAATGAGCCTATGCAAATGTCTTTAATACTTAAAGAGTGCATCCCTGAGGTGGGTCCTACATCATAATCACCATGCAGGTAGTTTTATAATTTGATTTTCTTTCAGTACTTGTGTGAAAACTAAATATTTTATTGGATTTAGTTAAAACTGTACAAAACTATTATCTTTATATAACGTTGTTCTTTTTCGTGTCCATACCCATTTAATGATATATTGATTTTACTTTTCAGATACAGTAACACTTCTGCAACCAATGCTCAAGTCCAAATGACGAAAACGTGTCCGCAAAACCACATCCTGTTTTTCTATAGTCAGATTACAAGGGTGAGCTGCCTTTGTGATATCAGTATTTACACAGTAGTTCTTACTGCTCGTTTTTACAAAAGACAACAAATGCTAACTTTTATTAACGGTGTATTTCTTTTGAATATAAATACTTTCTTTCTACTAAATGAACGTTTTATAGTACACACAATATTATTTTAGCTGTCGCTCCTGTACAGTGTTCAGACGCACCTTAGCAGCTTTATTAACCTGGTCTTCGTTGCCCCGCTTGTGAACAAACACCGAGGCGGGTTTTCCATCCTGGAGGACCGCCGAGTACATGGTGAGCCCGGAGGAGAGAGTCAGCAGCGGCTCCCCCAGACGCGTGCAGCCCCGCACCGCGCTACTCTCCGCGCCCATGGCCGAGCTTCTTCCTGGCCAGCGGCTCAATGCGGGGTCCACAGGGGCATAAACCAGAGCGGCAGCCTGTCGTTAAGCATACATAAATAAACACCTGTTACAGAGTAGAGCTGACAAACCTGAATTACTGCAATGAACCTACCAACGGCTAAGAAGAGCTAGCTGCCTGGTGGTGTCGCCGCGCTGGCTAACTTCGTCGCAGTGTTAGCCAGCCCGTCGACAGCCTTTCCGCCTCCAAACCATCATGCTATCCGTGATATAACACGAATTTGAATAAACAATTTACAAAATATTGAAGTGTCGACAAACAGACTATAATTTGTGTTTGTTGTTTGTAAAGTCCACAGATGCTAAGGGCTGAGCTGCAGTAAACACAAGACGCCTTCCGGTAAAGGACGAACCCACAGAGCAGGAGGGGACGCTACCACTTTTAGTATAAAATATTACCATAAATGCTATTTTGGATTACTGTTTTAAATATTTCAGTCTGAGTTTAAAACTTGTTAAAATATATTAGGCAATACATGTATAAACAAATCGCTGTCAAGTATTTTACATTCTGACAAACACCCCTACTAATTTCGGCAATGGTTGTAACTAAAGTGGTGTGAGAAGAGGCGACCTAACATATGGTGTTAAAAATGAAAATAGAAACTACAAAACTAAGTGTTTGCGAACATCTTTCTTCCGTCTAGATGTCAGGACACACAAGTAATGCGTGTCTGTGAAAACGATTCACTGTTATTATATAAATAGAGCCTCTTTTGAATTAGAGCCTCACGTTGTCTGAGTACTAAAATACAAAAATAATGTTTAGGATTTTTTTTAATACTGTATGAGTTCAGATCCAAATTTTAAGAGAAAATGTCTTTCCCGCCACTCAGATAAAAAAACGTGTTATCTTATGACTTAGCTACGGAAGCGTATTACCGTCAGTGCGGGGGAAAAAACTCAGGACCAGGATCGCGTAATAACGAGAAATGTTCTCGTTAAAACGCGATATAAATCACGTTTTAACGAGAAAGTTTCTAATTTTAACAAGAAAGGATCTCGTAATAACGAGAATCTTTCTCGTTTAAACGTGATTTATATCGCGTTTTAACGAGAATTGTTTTTCGAAATAACGTGTTCTATAACTTGTAATAATGACATGGATAATAACGGTAAAACGGCGACATCTCGCGGGATGTTTGAGTCTCGTCAGGAAGAAACGGAGGGAGACGAGGATGGAGACACCAATGGAACCACGTTGTGCCTTTTTAAGTCAACGTACTTGTCTGAGGAATGTATTTCTGCAATGAGGAGAGACAAAGTAGGTGACACATTTTAGACGCTTACCTACCTGAAATTAGAATTGATTTAACACAGTTCTATGTTACTGAATGTATCTGCAGTGTGGTACCGTCTACTGGTAATATTAACACCCAGTTTTAAATGGCGGAAAGGCTTAAATGGAGTTAAATGGAGTTGCTGATATTCATCCCAGCCACTTCACTTGGTTGCATACCAATTCAGCAAAAGTTGGAGATCATAGTCTGATGAAGCCAAGAGGGCCACTTAATCTGCAAAATGCAGAGTCCTGATCCTTAGGCCACCAAATTGGATCCCCTCAACATCTTGGCTGCACCTCGAAATCCTGTCCATGGCCTGTATTTGCATGTATTTGTATTGGGCCTTCTTAGGGTTCTACAACCTGTGCTGCATGGTGGCGCAGTTGTTAGCACTGTTGCCTCGTAGCACAAAGGTTGCAGGTTCGAAACTCGGCTGCAGCCTTTCTGCGTGGAGTTGCATGTTCTCCCCATGCATGCGTGGGTTTCCTCCAGGTACTCCGGTTTCCCCCACAGATCACAACATGCCCTATAGGTTATAAATTGTAAGTCGCTTTGGACAAAAGCGTCTGCTAAATAAATAAACATAAACATAAACAACCCTCCAAGGTGCTTCACAACACAATCAGTCATTCACACATTCACATGCTGGTGGGGATGAGCTACGATGTAGCCACAGCTGCTCTGGGACGCACTAGCAGAGAGGTGAGGCCTGCCGAACACTGGCGCCACTGATCCCTCCGACCACCAGCAGCAGACAAAGCGGGTTAAGTGTCTTGTCCAAGGACACAACAGCAGCATTCTTTGGTCAGAGCCAGGATCAAACCTGCAACCTTCCAATTGCTGGACAACCTGCTTGACCTCCTGAGCTACTGCTGTCCATAGACATTATGAACAGGAACTCTGAAGAAGGGCAGCCTTGGCAGAGTCCAACTCTCATGGAAAAGATTCAGATTGCCTGGAAATGCGGACCAAGCTCTGGCATCGCTCGTACAGGGACTTAACAGCCCGTATCCAGGTGCCTGGGGCCCATATTCTCAGAGTACCCCACAGGACTCACCAAGGGTCGTGGCTGAATGTTTTCTCCAAGTCCACAAATCACACATAGGCCCAATCTCACACTTGCACCCTCGCGCCCTTCATTTGCGCATTCCCGGCCAGGGGTGCGAGTACGTAGGGTGTCCCGATTCTCAAGTGCGAAAGTTGACCACGCCCCCATTGCACCCTTAATCTGCAATTCACCTGAGTCCTCAGCGATGCGGACCTCAGGCAAGGGAATTACCCACAAGTCATTGCTGCAGGAGAAAAGGTTCAAGTTCCTTTTCTGAAAATATGTGTTTTCTAATGAAATTAGTTAATTCTAGGATGATTATTGATGCTCTGAATGTTTTAGACAAAGCAGCAATGAAGTAGAATTTATTTCAAATAATTGCTTTACTGTCTGTTTGAAAGGGTTTTGGAAAAAAGTTTCACAGTGGCCAGAATCCCGGCATGCGTTGCAATCAATGATGCAATGCTCCCTGTCTCAATTCGACAAATATTTGCTCACTTGTGTGCTACGCACTCGAACCCTACTACGCCCTTTCTCCAAGTGCACTTTGCTGAAGACCGCAGGGCGAGTACTGACATTGGGCCATAGACTCTTCTCCAGAGCCCTTTAACAGACCTTACCACTCTCTAATGAGTGTGAGCCAGTTTAGATGCAACACACTGTCTGACAGTGTGTTGTGATTTTATGTAATTTAGCAATAAATAATCAAAATTTTAATATGAATTGTTTAAGTTAAACTTTTAAATGAATACATAATGGGATTGCTCCATTTTAAGACATCTGAGGGGAACTATTTCAGTAGGATTTAACTTTCTTTAGCAATTTTAATGCAATCTGTTTCAGTAAAATTACTTCAGCCTGGATTAAACTGTCTAGAATTATTTGGCACTGTTCAGAACAGATTGAAAGCAGAAGACTTCAACATTCATCCACATTTATTCTTGTTTTTAAAATAAAATACACAAAAATCTTGGGATTTTTTTGTGCTTGACTGGATTCTTTGTTGTGCTTTGGATGGATACATTCCACACCATGGCATGTTTGAACAATAATTAAGGTCAAATTAATTAATTATTGATGTCTACTTTTAAAATTTCACTTCAGAGGAAAATGCAGAAAAATCATTTGCAGAATTAATGTTACCTTGTTTGCATCATTAGACAGCATAACGTTCAGACTTTAGAAATCCACATACAATTCAAATACAGATAAAAAGCAAGCACATTTATTACACACACACACGCACGCACGCACGCACGCGCACGCACACACACACACACACACACAATCTCATCTATGCAAAAAGATGTGAAAACTGTTGCATACTTCCTCTGCATCTGGAGACAATAATACTAATATGAATAGGTGTTCTTGCTAGCATGCAAGGAAAAAAAAACTCTAAAGGAAGTACCGGTTTCAACTTCACAAAAAACAACCTGGTTGCCTCAGTAACTAAAATGCAGCAACAACACACTGACACATTTTCAAGTTGTGTACCACGAACAGGAACCGACATGGACGAGCTCGGTAAGATGTCTTTTTATGCTTTAAACTCATCAAAATTTGTAATCCTAATTGATTTAAAATATGAAAGATACAAGGCTTTGAGTATTTGATGTATTTGGGTTAGTATTTAAGCACGTTTTCAATTTCTCCTCGTTGCTTTCACAGCCTCATTTTGTTGTGCTGTTTAGTTTTCAACAAGCAGATACTTTTCTTCAAGAAAAATCCAAGAAATAAACAATGAATCAAATTAGATAAAATATTTGATTCAAACGTATGGTTTTCTCCTAGGAAGTAAAGCTGCAGGTTTTTAAATACTTTCTAATCCTTCTTAAACTGAACATTTTTATTCTATATAATTGTAAGACGCTGTTGTTTTGATTCTAACACCAGAATATCATTCATGTGAGAATGAGTTTCATCTTCATATCTCCCTGTTTCTGTAGACCTAACTTTTAAAGAGAAAGATTTTGCTTAAATATTTGTCCTCAGATTCTTGTGACACAAGTTTCACTTCTGCAGCCTCTTATGTCACCACTTCCTGAGGATGTGTATGAAAAAAAACAACCAGTTAACCAGCATGTTAAGCTGCACAGAAGATTGTTCATGTGATGTCATGTTTGATTAACAAATTAACGTGAAAGAATGACTGTTAGCATGACAGAACAATGCACCTCATTGATGCCTGCTGATAATAGGTTTGATGCTTTATGGTCTGTACTCCCACAGACTTGCTGCTGGAGGAGCTGGCACTGAATACATCAGCTGCAGCAAGCACCCAAGGAAACAGAAACAAAGATACATCTGATGTAGTAATCACACACAAAATAATCTCTGCTGGATTCCCTTCTTTAAAGAAGTTAAAATCTATAATCTGTGATTGTTGTCTAAACCAGCTCTTTCATCACATCAAAACACCATAAATTTTGGTTTCTGTGCAGGTTTCAGGTGCTTTTTGTGCTGGACTCTGTAGAAATGAAAACAGCCCATTTGTCACAAATGCTTACAGGTAAGGAAAAAAGCTTGGGGTTCCTGCTACATCATCACTGTGTAAACAGTGGACTTCAAAAAAATTGGAATAAAATTTTTTTTCTTTAAATATGGTTTTAAAGCAGTAATTTTTCTTTTGTTGAAACTTCATATGAAAAATTCTACAAACTTCAGAAATATTTATTTTATCACTTATTTACAGCAGAATTGTAAATGGTTTCACACAGTCTTGTTCTACCTTTGTCTTGTAGTGTAAACATTGGAATGCAGTGCAAAAAAAATTTACAATACTTTTTTTTTATTTTATTTGAAACAATACATTTATATCAAGGCTGCACAGTGGCACAGTGGTTTCTTAGAGCTGTTGCCTTGCAGCAAGAATGTCCTCTTTCTGCACAGAGTTTGCATGTTCTCCCTGTGCGTGAGTGGGTTCTCTCCAGGTACTCCAACTTCCTCCCACAGTCCAAAAACATGACTGTTAGGCTTATTGGTCTGTCTAAATTGTCCTTAGGTGTGAGTGTGTGTGTGCATGATTGTTTGTCCTGTGTGTCTCTGTGTTGCCCTGGGATGGACGGCAACTCTGTCCAGAGTGTACCCCGCCTGATTGCTCGTTGACCGCTGGAGATAGACACTGGACCTCCCCGTGACCCTACGTGGACAAGCGGGTTCAGAAAATGGATGGACGGATGGACGTTTATATCAGATTTACTGTTACTTAAAATAATACTGAAGGTTTAAGTTGAGTAAAGTTTGAGATAGTTAGTCATCAGAAAATAAGAAAACCAAAGTGATCAAAATAAAACAGATGGAAAATAAGAGAAAAATAGGCAAATAACATCTAAACATAACCAGTACATTTGAAAAAGATGGCATGAGAAGATTGACATATATTAAAGGTGCATTGTGTAGAAATGAAGTAAAAATGACATCCTGTGGCTAAATTTGGTTACTGCAACCACTTTAAACAAATCTGGAGCTTTCTGCCAGTCGTCAAATTACAATAATTGGCGCTGCAGCATTAGCTCTCAGGAGACACGGCCCACCCACACTCACTGATGCTAAACAGTAGTTACGTCCCTCCTTCCTTTGTTTTAAAAGGAGAAAACTGACAATCCCCACAGTCAGCGATATGAAATATGTTTCAGTATCACCCTTCTTCCAAAATAACTGAAACGTTAGACTCTTTTGGGATTTTCTCACTGTAAAATTCTCACTATAATCTTACATACTGCTCCTTTAAAATAAAAAGATAAAATAAAAATTAAATTCTATATGAAAGCCAAAATGATAATTATATATAGATGACAAATTTGACAGCAGCATTTATCAAACCACGTAGCAAAATTTTCAGTGTCAGATTTTTTTTTGTTCAGCGATAAAAATTAGCTCTATGTTGTGCAGATTAAAAGCATAGATTAATGGTAAAATTCATAAAAATGTACCTATATGCTGTTTCGTCTAGATATTTTTAGATTTTACATTCATGATACTGCTTTGTATTTAACAATTACTTTATTATCTATTACACTGATATGATTGCAGTGATTCTAGAACATGTTCAGAAACCAAATGTATTAAGGTTAAATAATAATTTGATCAGATTTGAATCCTGTTCTAACAGATGTCTCCTAAATCCAGGCACTTAGTCAATTTGTTCAAATCTGTAATTATAAATTTACTATAGTGTTCCATTTTGAAGCATGTGTGTGTGTGCGTGCGTGTGTGTGCATGTGTGTGTATGTGTGTGCGTGCGTGCACACGTGCATATATCAATTCAATTCAATTCAAAAATACTTTATTAATCCCAGAGGGAAATTGATTAATAAGGATATGGGTATATATGTGTGTGTCATGATTTGTCTCCGCCTTGAGTGCAGTGACCTGCCAGCTCCGGTGCCAGCTGCCCTTGAGCTTGACTCACCTACTCAGGAACTGGACAGTATCTTGAAAGGTCTGGTGGGTCTTGCAGAAAAGGTCAGTATGTTGTTTGCAGGTGTTTCCATTAAAATACATTGTAAAGTATCACCAAATGATACAGTATATTGTGTAGGGTTTGGCAAATTGAGTGCTTTAAGAGCTCAAGATACATATTACCTCTACTTATGACCAATAAGTTGTGATACTCTATCTAAACATAGAATATCAACCTTGCTTGGTCTTTACGGTGTTTAGTCAGAAGATCTAGGATTCTTGCTTTATCAGGGGATTGCACACACTTCGTTTTGATTCAGAAAAGAGTCAGGTTTATAAAAGTAAGAATTTGTTTTACAAACAATTAAAACATGACAACTAAGCATTTACTGTGAATGGATGGAACTAGATGTGATTTAGGAACCTATGTGTGAATGGTGTTAGTCAGAACTTCTGTATCTAGGAAATATGAGTTCTGGATGTAAAAGAATTTGCTTTGCGTTAAGCTATGGAGTTGGTTATTATCAAAACACATCAGACGCTATCTGTGTGTCTACATACCCACTCGAAAACCCTTGTGATAGATCCGGAATGTCGAAGTCCTCGGACTTCCGGGCATCGAGGTCCATAGAAGAAACTGTGGCCCCACTAAACCGGTCTCCAGGTCACAACAGATGGATGGAACCGCGCATCTGGGACTCTTTAAGGAGTCAGAACAATATCAACTCGTTCTGCAGGAGCTGTTGCCTATCAGCTTGGCAGGTGCAAAAACGATTTTGACGACGTGTCAAAAGCTTGGATGGTTAAAGAGGTGTTGCTTCAGATGGCCGGTCTGAAACTTTCTCTAGAACTAAGGGATTATCCAGAGTGATCCAGTTTTAAGGTTCTCATGTTATAATATGTGTAGCCAACCAGAGGTTGATAGGTTTGAGGAATGTTACCAAGAATCTCAGAAACACCCCTTCTTTGATACGGAGGTTCTGATCAGGGCAAAGGACTATTTATGTGTCACGAGTTTAACTTAAAGAGCAAGTCACCCCCTACCAGATTCTAACTCCACTCCCACTTCATGTTTGAAAAATGCAACAAATGCTGTTGCCTGGCAGACCGAGGGGGCGGAGCTGCTAACAAATACACACACACAGGCTCACAACAGCATTGTGACATCATAATGTACCAGTTTACATCATAGCATACCTCTTAGCCAATAGTGGTGGCAGATTTAAATTAAAATACAGTGCAGAGTTTTACCTGACAACACAACACTGCCAGTTTTAGGCAGAATATTTTAATTTTAACTAAGATGCACTGAAGTGCCAAATTATTGACGACACGTGTCTGCAGCACGATTAGACACTCGTTTATTTAGTTTATCAGCAAAAAAAAGTTTATTTGGGGGTGACTTGCTCTTTAACCTTATTTTGTTCTTGTGTGAGTGCAAATGGTGATGACCTTGTCATATTAACATGCTGAAACATATTTCAATCACTGTAATCATAACATAACATTCATTTAAAACTTCAATCATTAAGCACAGATTAATGAAACATTTCAATATATTATAATTATTATAAGTAGCAATAAACAAACTTTTATTTAATGATTATGTGGCTTGTAATGGGCCATTCCCATCTGCACCGGGTCGGCCCGGGCCGGGTAGCCCCAGTCGGCCCCAGCCTGGCCCGGTTGATTCCACACATCCTTGTCTTAAGCCCATGTGGGCTGATTCTACCCACCAATCAGAGGCTTGCTCTAATGGAAGGTGTGAATTAGCTGTCAGCAGTGGGTGTGTTGGCCCTGGTCGGCCTGAAGCAGACCCCCTCGAGAAGAGGGCTGAGAATGAGCCTTGGCCCGGAAAAATACCAGGCCACCCAGATATGTAAACAACCTACGCTACCCGGCCCGGGCCGACCCGGTACAGATGGGAATGGCCCATAAGTTGTAGAAGTTCATATCTGATTTAGGAAATCCGGGCTGCGAGTGTTCCTTGTATGGAGGCATAAATAATCCTGAAAGATTGGACCTTAAGGAGAGAACATTATTGTTGACACTTGTCATCTGTGTTCAGAGCTGCAGGCTCTGAGCTCCAGCTAGTGGACTGGAGGCAGGCTGATTTAAAAGGGGACACATGCAGTCTCGTGTCTCCTTTTTGACCAGATGCTGAATGATCAACTGTACCTAAAAACTGATCATTGCTGGACGTTACAATTGTATATAAATCACATTTATGAAACCATTAAATTATCATTTTCCTACATTCACATCTAATGTTTTAAGTCGTGAGATCAGCAAGATCTTAAAATGTGTACTTACGTAATGAAACGTTAGAGGGCAGCATTGTACCAAAAAAAGTTATGTGGCCGTTCTACTGAAACAGAAGCAACGCTGGCGTTTCAGTCAGGATTTGACACTTTAGATAATCAAGACAAGCATTGAAATAGAACACAAACCCAGACATCTTTTGTATAATCTTTCAAAGGAACAAGAGCTTTTAACAACGCCACCATCTCCACCGCTGACTCAAAGGAAGGTTCTAAATGAAATACCAGAAGATGGAAAACCGGAGAAAAAGGATGAAAATTGCAGTCCTCCATCAGGCTCAGGTGCAGCAGCCTCGACACAGAAAAAAATAACAGATTCTATAGATGACCTCCTAGGAGGTCTGAGCTCTGACTTGGAGAAGATCGGCGTGCGCACAACAGTCAAAGGTCACTGCGCTGCATGCAACAAGGGCATCGTGGGAAAGGTACACCACAGACCCATGACGAAACACATTCATGTAAACCCACTCTAAACATGTTCACCTTTATTTTCTTCTTTTAGATGATCACAGCTCTGGGGGAGGTGTGGCACCCTGAACACTTTGTGTGTGAGGTGTGTAAGAAGGAACTGGGCACGATAGGCTTCTTTGAGAGAGAAGGACGGCCATTCTGCGACAAGGACTACCATGAGCTATTCTCCCCACGCTGCGCCTACTGCAAAAGGCCTATCATGCAGGTGAAAATGGAGAAAATAAATGTCTCCTCCACATGAATCAAATTTAAAGTGAGTGTATTTAGCAAATAAACAAAAGGACCTTTGTGGAACCCTCAAACCACAACTTAAACATTTTTTTCAGGCCCAGTTTTATCGACATATTAGTTTAAATATTGGATGATGACATGTAGTAAAGTGTAGTTATTTTTTCCTGGGATTTCCCACAAGTCAGGCTAATGAATAAAAGACAAAACCATGTTGGGGTTTCTCAGGCTGGGCTTACATCACGCTGCAGACCAAAGACATAAATCACTAACTAATCCCACATCTTTTGTGAGTCCCTTCATGTGGTCCTCAGTCCACGTTTCTGAATATGTGGTTATGAGACAAACTTACTCACTAATCCTTAAGGGAAGCAAAATTAAGATGTTATATTTCTGGCTGGTTCACCAGAACATCCTGACAGCTCTTGACCAGACCTGGCACCCGGAGCACTTCTTCTGCACACACTGCGGAGACCTGTTCGGGCAAGAAGGTGAAAAAAAAAAAACGTGAAAATGAATGTTTCGTTAAAAAAAGCAGACAATTACACTTATCTTCTGTATCTTAGGCTTCCTGGAGAAGGATGGGAAACCATACTGCTACAAGGACTTCTACCACCTCTTTGCTCCAAAGTGCTCCGGCTGTGGCGACTCAGTGAGGGAGAACTACCTGACTGCAGCCAACGGCACCTGGCATCCAGAGTGCTTCGTCTGCGCCGTGAGCCTCTCACAGACCACACACACACAGCTCTGGCTCATGTTCAAGCTGGAGAATGAATGAGAGAGATACCCACACACTTGCTTTGTTTGCATCTTTTTTTGACCACAGACCTGATAAAAACCACATGGCTGATGGATATGTTGCAGTTGAAATGTTGCCGATAAATTAAGAAAACCATATTCATCTGAGTGGGTATCGGTATTTCCTTAACCCTCCCACTGTCTTCATGGGCGACCCCACCAAGAAAGTTGACCATTGAGCAGGGTTGATGGTTTATCCCTTGAGGTCCACGTGGCCGGGGTGAGGAGTGAGCACCACCTTACCCCTGCCACGTGGACCTCAAGAAATAAACCATCAACCCTGCTCAATGGTCAACTTTCTTGGCGGGGTCACCCATGAGGACAGTGGGAGGGTTAAAGATACTTCTGTGTGCGGCAGCTGATCAATTGTAGTTGAGAAACCACGCCTTTAACAATTACGTACATTAAAAATGACCAATTCCTATTAGTGCACAATGCAAACATCATTTTTATAGCATTTATAATTAAGTTTTCCTCACCTAAGGTGGCAAAATGTAGAACAATTTGTAACATTAGCACATTAAAAGTAACATTAATTTAACATCAACATTTGTGCAAATGCAAGTCTTCTAGTATCTCCTTTACCTGCAGCCTGTTCAGAGAAATTTATGCTGCATGAGTCATCATCAGCCTCCAAACTCCTAATAAAAAGCCAAGGCTCCTCTGGAGGCACACTTGTTAACAATATGTACAGAGTGTTGTGCTCATTACAAGTTGGCTAATTAATATTTGTAACTGCCACTTGTTTAACAGTTTAGTTGTATGAAAAACATCTCAACAGAATCAAACACATCTGAAGTTTTTAGTGCTTTTAGGAAATCACAAACTGACCATTCTGCAGCAGAAACAGCTGACTAGATTGTTCTGCTGAAGCTCCAAGGCCCAGGAGTTGCTCTTGTTTCCTCTCTGCTGCATCTTATTGGCATGTAGTAAATTAAACACAGTCAGAGGTAATGTTAGGAGCTGCACACGTGCTTTTACTGTCACATTATGACAGAGACTCCACCGAGAAAATGTCCAGAATTGTGCTTGGGACAATTCAGTGTCATTGCTTTGCAGAAAGTTTCACTGTCTGTTGATTCTGTTTGCTGAAACACAGCTGCAAAAACAAAAGTAGTCAATGGATGTTAGATATTTGTTATTAATGATTTTGTATAAAATTGCAAGTTTTCCAGCTTACAAATACAACCGTAATTGTACACTGAGGGTTAGATCATGGATTTTGGTTGCGGTTGGAAGTTCGGACTATAATACATGTGTGTGAAAAATTCTCCAACCATACATGGTATGACAGTTAGACCCAGTGGAAGAATAATAGGTGAAGCCACATGCATTTACAGTTTTTAACATAACCCTGTCCCATTTTCTAATTCTGGCCAAATTCTTATTTCTGTTTCTCTTGACTGATGGCTTACACAACAAGTGAAGCCAAAATTTATAAGTATAGTACATTTGTCAGCAACGTCCCATTGGCTGAACAGCAGAAAAACACATTCAGAAAATAAGCAGAGTAAAAGAATCTAAAAATATAAAATATAAAAGCATAAAAACAGGACAGTAACTCAGAACAACACACATTTCTGCTCAGTTTGAGTTGAAAGCTGTAGAGACGGGTTCCGTTTTCAGTTGAGGTTTTAAAAGGCCAATAAAATGTTCACATTTAAGGAGGGTGTTCCAAAAAGTTGGAGCAACAATGGAAAGAGCCCCAGGAATTCAGTTAAAATCTGGGTGTGGATAATAATAATAATAAAAAATAATAATAATAATAAACGAATACTACTACTACTACTACTAATAATAATAATAACAACACTTTCTTGGTGGAGACAGACATTTTCAATTTTTACAAAATTTTATATAAAATTTTAGACAATAAAAGGAAAAATTCTGCCTTGAAAAAGATACAACTCAGTCCAAAGTATCTTCTCAACATGCATTTTAACATTTCAACAAAAAAACAGCTTCTTTCAGAAAAAAATATGTATGTATATATATATATATATATATACATACCGTATATATATCTTTATATATAAATTATTTTCTTTTCACATCTACTCAGTCAAAAGAATTAAATACATTCTGTTTAACAAGAAAACGAATAGGGCCTTTTTTCCTTCCATATATCAGCTTTATTTTTTATAGCAGATGCATTGTCAGAAACACGCATTTCTTCTTCTTTGACCCACTCTCAGTTGTCTGTCTGTATCTCCAGGACTGCCTGAAGCCCTTCTCCGACGGCTGTTTCATGGAGCTGAACGGTCGAGTCCTCTGCTCGCTGCACTTCCACTCCAGGCAGGGCACTTTGTGTGGCCACTGCTGCAAGCCCATCACTGGCCGCTGCGTCTCTGCCCTCGACCGCAAGTTTCATCCTGAGCACTTTGTGTGTGCCTTCTGTCTGCGGCAGCTCAGCCAGGGTATCTTCAAGGAGCAACAAGGGAAGCCCTACTGCGCAGTTTGCTTCAACAAACTCTTTCTGTGAGGCACGTGAGAGCAAGTATAGCACTGGAAGATCCCGTTTTCTCCTACTGTATACTAAATTATAAGAACAAGGCAGTTGATTTGTCACAATAAATCTCAAAGACTAAACCACCATTAAATGTTCTCAGTTTAAAAACCAGCTGATGTGTCAGAAAGGTTATTATAGAAACCTGCAGCTCAAACTGATCCAAAGCATCACAAGATAATTAATCCCGACGTGGTTTTGAAGCACACAAGGACATTATTTCCTGTACAGGAAATTTTGGATAAATGTTTGCACATGCAAACTCTGGATGTTTCTAAAAAGCCTGTTGCTAACACTTGGTTTGAATTTCCCAGGTTTTCATACGAAGTGAAATCACATCAAACCTACAAATCAAGACAGATAAAACTCAAAAGTGCTGTTTAAACCCGTAGTTTCCATAAAGCTGTTCTCAGTTTCCAATGAGACTTGACAGTCTGGAAATACTTTTTCACAGTTTGAAGCGTTTTGTAAGGGCGTTTGTCTGTGAGGACCAATAGCTTGTCTTGGCAGTGACTGGCGTGGAATCGTCATGCCAACCTGTGATTCCTCATTCTCTGAATGACCACTTGGCCCTTGGCAGGAACCGGAGTCAGATGTCCTCCTCATTCTCCACACATGCTCCTTCACGGCTGCTTATGGAAGATTGATGAATGTGGTGAAGTTTACAAAGGTAGCTTCAGAAGGAGCTCCCTCACATTCCAACATCTCTTCAGAAACTCCCCTTTAACTGTTGAGGGATGATTGAACCACAAAGTGTTTAAATGCTTCAGTGGCTGTTGGCAGATTTAAGTTTGTTTCATTACAAGTTGAATTTGTAATTTTGCTTTAGTTTCCCAGCCTGGATGTAAAGGAGACACTTTTGCTGTGGCATTGTTTTATTTATGTCCAAATGGACTGTTTTTTATTTCAGTTTTGTATGATTGAATCTTACACCTAAACAAACATCCAAGCCGCACTGATTAGGCACAAAGCTCCTCCTTGAATTGCTTTGTGATTTTTATCTTGAGTGGCGCTATATAAAACTTCTTCTCCTTCTTCTTCTTCTTCTCCTTCTCCTTCTCCTTCTCCTTCTCCTTCTCCTTCTTCTTCTTCTTCTTCTTCTTCTTCTCCTCCTCCTCCTCCTCCTCCTCCTCCTCCTGAATGTATTCAGATTCATCTATTTTCTGGAATTAGACACAGCTTCACCATGTTTGGTAAAATGATTGCTTCTTTTCACTAAGTCGTATAAATAGACGTGTTCTGGCTTGATGCCCTTAAGTCTGGTGGTTAATGGCAGCTGTAATCTGAAATTTCCAATCTAGTGAAAAACAAACCATATGATAAGCTGGAGGTCAAAAATGACTAAATTTCATGTTCTCACCTTTCATTTCCAAGTCACGTGGAATGTTGGAGGTCTGCAGCTGGATTTGTGAAAATTTTGCACAATTTACACAGAATTCAAAACTATATAAAACTATAAAACTTGCAGATTATCAAATCAATTCATCCTGGTGTACAAATAAATCTATATTTTCTGTGCAAAGACTTTTAACTGTGCAAGTAGTTTTAAACCTCTGAAATGAATCAGCCCTTCAGATGAAAGTTGCAACACTCTTTAGAACAAATGAAAGACATCCTGTTGCATTCAGCAACATGACAGGACCTAGCCCCCCCCAAAAAAAAGATAAATAAATAAAACATAAAAAGAAAAAGGAGGGACAAAAAATCCAGAAAAACATTCATGTTCACACAAACCATAGAGTCGTCATTTTAATAAGGACTTAAATGTTAAAGCCAATAACTATGTTCATTTTAACCAAATGTAATATATAATTTGTTCAATAAATCACAATTTAAATATGGATGCGCCTCTAAGACTCATCATTAAAGGAATACTTTACAACTTTTTCATAATTTTAAATAATCTTCTTGAGCCATTATGTGCAAAAATGACCCTTTTACAGCGTTAATGAAAGGCCACCCAGACCCTATCGCCCCCTGTGACCAGGATATTCCATTTGCAATGTCAGAGTTGCTGTTCCGGTCAGAAAAAATTGAGCTGACGTACCTGGTGCTGCAGTCTGGTTCCAGCACGTTTTCTGCATATTTTAGGTCATGAACACAGATGATTTGTTTAATTTAGTGACAAATCACTCCTGTAGACATCAAGGAAGGCTGGGAGATGTTATAACTGTTAGAATAAGGTGCTAAAAAGTGTTTTACTTTCAACTTCACAAACGCACACTAGGAGGTGCTAAAAGCAAGCTCAAACTGCCTCACTCATTAAAAAAGTATACTTCCCGATGGTATTTGTGGATACTTTTGTTTCAACAGAAGCAGGCAAATAGACAGTTTTAACATGCTGAAACACTCACATTTGAAACAACAACTGGTTGTTTTTCTGAAATTTTTGTGTTTATCATATCTGAGGTAAATGTTTTGGGTTGTTTCTTAATGAAAAAGAAAGGAGGAGCAATGCAGAGCACATCTACACGCTAAACTCTCCCAGAGTTACCACAGGGACCAATTTGGTGCGCCACCCCAAACGTTCTCTGGCCCCATATAGTCATGCCTGTGAAAATGTACTGGGTTCACCACTGCTTCTATAAATCATTTTCATGAGTAACTTTTAAAGGATGGAAGTTCGGCTGTTTTGAAAAAATATCCCATAAATGGTTGTAATATAAGAAATCACGAGTAAAAAACAATCTGTAAGGAGGTTCAATTGACATCACAGAAAAATACATATTTTAATAATTGAGTAACTTTTGTAAATTGTTTAATCCAACTGAACAAACTTCTTAACTCATAAGCAAACAGACATGGGTATTCTTGCTAATGCCAACTTCTCTCAGTTGACTCTGATTTCTTAGGCTTTTCTTAAGCACGCCACACGAGTCAGTCTGTGAGTGGGAACGACGTTGAGCATTAATCATACTGTCCTCACCGTCAGGTCAGACCTCATAAGGCTGCTGCAGAGTTGGGACCTTGCATCATGCAGAAGTATGAATATATCATGTTCATTGAAACCCCCAAGTCCAAGGTCCATGGTCTGCAGACTCGTGCCCGACATATTCACATTCTTACCGTAATTTTATAAGATGCATTAGTGTCCTCCATCCATTCATCTCAAAAAGTGCTAGCACAACAGATCCCTCTGGCAGCAGCACTTATTCCGTTGTCTGGAAAACTGTAAATTTTCAATTAGTTTCAAATACATCAGATGTGACACGGACTTCTTTCAGAATGTTTGAGCAAATTCAAATGTACAGAAATGGTTTCAAAATGACGCAACAAATGAAAAGTTTGGCTATTACAGAGAAAAATATGATTAATTATGTTGCCGAGTAAATAAGGAAGAGAAGGGTTCTCTGGCATGCAGTTAAAATAAGAAAACATGAAATGCTAGCAGGGGTCTTTTTAAAAGGATGGTGAATAAAGAGCCATCTGTGGGAAACAGGCAGAGTGTAACTCAGGTGACATTTACAGCAGTGAAACAGAGTCCAAATGGTCTGGGAGCACTTTAAGGAGGAGGCTAGAAGTTGATGGGAGGAGGAGTACACCAGGATCTAATGGATACTGGAGCTAAGGGAGGCAGAGGGGAGGAGGCTGTAGGGATTAGAAGTTTGGTTGTGAAAGTTTCTCCTTTTTGACGCTGTAACCAAACACTTTCCTTCTCTCCTGTAAAATGACTGTGTTCACTAGGCCACCCCTGATGGGGATGGTGACGTGCCCTGTCCAGACCATTACAGCCCCGCTGTGGGTCACCCTCAGCTAACCCTACCCTTGACCTAAAGTCCACATCATCTCTGAAACTGTCAAATACATTGCAGGCACATTAACAACCTCATTTGGTTTACAAACATCAGTGAAAACACTAACTAGTGACAAGGCTGAAATCAGATCCAGTAGGTGCAGTAAAGCACAGCTGGACTGGATTAGTTTAACATCATTTTAGTTCATTTCACTAAGTTTAAATGAACAGAACAGGTCAAAACGTCTGTACAGCATTTTAATACCTGAGAATGAATGAAGAGTGAATGATGAATGACCCACTCTTGTTTAGTGCCTTTCAGAGTCAGAGGACTTCAAAGCGCTTTACACCACACGCACACACACACACACACACACACACACACACACACACACACACACACACACACACACACACTGATGGTGATGAGCTGTAGCAAAGCCACAGCTGCACTGGGGCACACTGACAGGGCTGAGGCTCACGAACACAGGCACCACCAGTCCCTCCGACCACCACCAGCAGACAAGGTGGGTGAAGTGCCTTGCCCAAGGACGCAACAGCAGCATTCTCTGTTGGGAGCCTGGATCAAACCTACAGCCTTCTGATTACTGGACAACTGTAGCTCCAGAGCTACTGCTGCCTCCTGACCCATAACAGTTGTGAATATTGCAGAAACAGATAACTAAAACCTTCAGCTGAAACAATAGCTTTAACTAGCATTGTGATTTCCATGCCATTTCTGTGTTTAACAGCATTTAAAGAGACTATAATCATCCTAAGTTGAGAAGATTCACTAGCGTCAGCGGTTATCTTGTTGCACGGTTATCACACAGCCTCTGTGCCTTTTGGCTTTTATTGGCATGTTGCATGGCTATCAACTGGAGGAAAAGATTGCAGCAGAAAGAGAAATGTAACCTCAGTGTGTGAATATGTGTGGATGGGCGGATATTGATTGTGGTATGAAGCGCTTTGGGGGGGTTGTAGAACCCTAAGAAGGCCATTTCCCATTAATGCAAAAACATTTTGGAAATTTCCATTGTATAAAGATACTTTTTTGCTTAAAGAAACTGTTACAAGTTTGCAGCATGAATCAAATAATCCATCATCTGTTAGACCTAAAATTTGTAAGAAATTACAAGAATTTAAAAGACGTGGTGATCCAACCAGCAGGTAAAAGTCTACTCCATGCTTTGGACTGTGCTAAAGGTTAAATGTATTCATTTCCCAAGCTAAAGAAAAATGAAAACCTCAACACTTCTGTTATTATTTCTACTCAGAAAGGAGCTGAGCAGGACTCCAACTGTTTGTTTTGGCGTTTTGCTGATGCAGGGTGCAGGTATCACACCTGATTCATGACTGCGTACTTTGTGCAAAGGGAACC